ACCACCAAAGACAAACAGATACCCGCAGTTTATTTCCCTCCTGCTGAAATTAATTTTAGAACAAATTGGTCGGCTTAAACAAAAACACTGAACGTTAGAAAATTTGTTTACTTTAATCAATTCCAACGCGAGCTAAAATCTTAACTATGAGTGCTAAGTGAAAATAAGGAGTCATTAATTTGCCAGGTACAAGCTATGAATGGCAAATAATTCAAAGTGATATTGCAATTTCAAAGTCACAGGGCATGCTGTAGTTTTAGCATCATTAATAAATAATTGCCTCTTTTCTCACTAGCTTTTCACAAAACCTGTTATGTCGGCTGCTTAACTCTTCCATTACAGGTAAGGGTGGCAAAATTGGGAGGCTTTGGTAAAAGCATCCAGGAAAATGTGCATCGGTGTGTGATTGCCGAGTGAATGGGGCTAGGTTTTGGACGTTTAAGTAACCGGTTTATCAGTTTCTTTTGTACTCATACACCTTTCTTACGGCGGTTAACCATATTAGACGTCATTTTCTTAGCCCCCTGCCACGGACGTACCTTACAACAGACTGAGGATACGTCAGTTCAAATTGAGCGCTTATGCATGCAACTTCATAACATTTCTCATTGCATGCACTGCTTGATCGTTGAACGCAAAAACTCACTCAGAGTACCATACAGCAAAAGTTTTGAGCTTCTCTATTATTGCCAAAGGAAAATTTATGTTTCAGTTTTTGGAAGGTTACTTTTAAAGAGGATTATTCATTTTAATTCAAGCCTTGCTGTCTTTGAAGGTATTACACAAATATTTTCAAAGCTTCATGGCGCAGAGCACAATTTCTCGAACGCCATTCATCTTTCCTCGTCAAGTATTTGTTTAAACTTTAGGTATGTTTCATTACCTAACGTCCAAAATCTATTTTATTTTTCGAAGAGTTCGTTTGCATATTTTGCAAGATGGCTTTAACATTCAAGTGGTATTTTCATATTGCTGGAAGAAATCCCGCCGACATCGCCTGGATGTTCGTCTGGCTTGTTGGAGCTGTGATAATCTTCTCTAAAGTCGACGGGTAGGTCAATCTATATTTGCAGTTGACAACATTTCTTATTTAGGAGTCGGTCGATGAATGAACGATCTTCTACGCTCAATTGACAGTGACCTTGGAAGAAAACTGATCATAGGTGTACACGCATTATTCTTTTGTTTTCTCTCTGTTAGACTCGTCGCCGGTGTGTATTCAGTTATAGTACATATTATAGCTGAGGTTTATTGAAAAACGGCTTATATAAGTTATACTGTCGTTAGGGGGGAATTATATTAAAGGCACATCATGTCCTATGGTCCTGGCGTACCTAGAGGAATATAGCAACGATGGTACCTTCAGTTGAAAAATTACAATTTTTTGAAGACTTCAGTAGTGAGGACATCTTTGAATCTTATCCATTTTTCAGACACAATCTTTTCACAAAACACAAAATCCCTATTCGTCCAAAAAGCTGCAAAACTTTTTTTTGCCCATAAATGGGTATAAAAAGCAGGATTTCAACCACTCAAAGCAAAAGCTTTCAAAAAAAGACATTGATGCTGTTGAAATATAAGCCGCGGAAACAAAATTTAAAAAGAGTAGCTAACAATGAAGTTAAAAAACTTGGAAAGATTTATCTGCTTGAAAAGGGAAATGTGAAGACGGTGTCGGCCCATTTTGCTGAGAAAAATGCAGAGTATTTCAGAGTAATATCGCTCGTATACATCTACCAATGTCTACACTTAAATGCCCACAAAATTCAGACCTACCGACTGATGGTTCAAGCTGAGACGTAACCAGGAACTAGAAAGGGTGGAGTGCGTATGTTCTCTCCGTAACAGAGACAACTTTGAAAGTAAAATTCAGGAGAAAACAATAATGGGAAATAAACTAAAAATATACAGAAACGGGAGACTGTAACTTTCTCGACTTTCACTGGCGAAAATTGTCAAGTGGGAGACAAACCTGAAGACTGAATGCAACGAAAAACTACGCCTGAGGATGGACGATCCCTTGAAAGGGAGCGCATTTTGAGATAAAGTAGACTCTTTTCTGAATGTAAAAAAATGTACTTGGGTACCCACAAACCACATAGGAGGTTTATAACTTATTTGACTCATGCTCTTGTGTTCCAGATCGAATCCTCCTTTTGAACTGATGTCTTTTTTAGAGAGAGAATAACCATATTACTCAGAGAAAAACTTTTCGGAACAAAAAAGATATTTCCGACAGGAAATGGCGTAGCCCCGGCGAGCATGAGTGGTAGGCGAGTGCGCGCTGAGGTTCCTTTTCTTCCCTGCTAAGTAAAGCCCCAGGATACTGACTGCTGTGGATGAAACTTGCGCCTTGACTGAAAGTTTTCATTCCCTTCGTGCCCCTTTGCAATAATTTTTAAATTTTGAATTGTGGGGGTTCGGTTACTACAAATTTTGTCAATTCCGTAACATAACAATGAATACTCGTGCTTAGTTGCCAAGTTATCGAGTTTATTCAAAATTAAAAGGTGAAAGTTTTCATCTTGCTCTACCCTCAAATAGAAGGGCCAACTCAAGGCGGAAAGAGCAAAAAGATAGTCCGTTTAACAATGGTAGCTCGCGAAAATCCTAAATGTGATTTACATTTATCGGTGAAGTTTTTTTAATGTTTTCCATATAAATTGAAGCTGAGGCAACAAATCTGAATTGTCCAAAGAAATATAAGAATCCACAGTGCATTTTATTGCGGTAAGTTAATAATTCTCGCTCAGTGCAATGTTTTGAACGTTAAGGTTTGTAACTCGTAAATCTTTAATCGTGAACGCTGTAATAAGCAAACTGGTGTTGATTAAATATAAAGCAATGTGAGGAGTGTGGAAGTATCAATCTGTGAAATCTTGATAGTCTGTGAAGGTTTTAGGAAATCTTTGGAATGGTACTTTGTCTTGATATTTTACACTTTAGCTTTTGATTTTCATCCTTAGTAGTAAAATAAAATGGGGAAAAATGCGATGCAGGCCTAGAAGTGTCAACCTTAACGAGGTTTGAGAGTGCCTGTGAGTCTACAAAGTTTAGTTTTGTTAAAATCACTGAGAGAACTAGGAACTAGGTTTGAATCTTATGACCATGCTTTTTCGTTCTTCGGAAAAAGTTAAAATGGAGGGGAAAAAAAGACAAACAGAAGGGAATAAGACAAAAAGAACCCGCCGCTTTCATCAGTATCAACGTTAAAAACAAACTCGCAGTACACCGATGCTATATAGAATCCTCCCAGACGCGGACAATCAAACTTTGACGACAAAAAGCTTTGTCGTTCCCAGAATCAGGAAGCAGCTAGATTTGTATTGAACATTGCGAAAAACACATGGAAAGATACCCAGCTGTTTGACAATATGTAGTTCATATGTGTGTCATAAATTTTTATCATTACCGCTACGTTGCATGCTGCGTTCTTCGTGCATTTATCCCGAAAGAAGGAAAGCCATTCACTGCACTGAATCTTTCAACTAACAACACCGTTAGATCTTTAACTGAAGTTATAGGTACTTCTACAACAATGAAGCGCTACACAATTAAGAAACTTTAGTAAATTTGAGAGTTAGAGCATGGCGAATTCTTATTCAGGTCGGAGTCTTTCAAAGAAACCGCTGTGTCAAGATTTCACCTAGTTTTGCTTTTGTCATTCAAATAAATTAACCGATAAATGATACTGACGAAAACATGATTTGTCGAATTGAAATAAAATTCTTTTTTATTGAATAACTCTTTCTTGATGCGACGATGGTGACCGGGGGAGCCAACACTGAATCTTGGTTATTTTGCAGGTGTCAAAAAGCTTGTAACAGAACTGCAGACGAGTTAGTTACCTGGATTAAAAAAGGTTACGATGGTTCCTCCAGACCGAACAAGACTGGTAAGAACAACTTCGTTTATTCACTAATCGTTCATTCATTCAATAGCATAATCATATGTATTTTAGTTTTGTTATTGTTAATTTTCGGGGTTTTTTTTTGCAATAGTTAAGTTGTTATAGCGATAGATATCAGGATAAAAAACCTTTATTGTAACTAGAGCAATACGTCCTTTTGGAGAATAAGGCACAACAAAGATGCACTATACTATGCCATATCATACCATACCATACCATACCATACCATACCATACCATACCATACCATATCATACCATACCATACCATACCATACTATACCATACTATACTATTCTTAACAATTATTCCTCGAGCCCGAATGAGCTCTGAGTCAATAGCCCATGAGGCCTATTGACTCAGAGGCCATGAGGGCGAGAGGAACAATTGTTTTAGTAAAATCTAACTAGTTGGTCAAAAATATCCAGAATAAAAAAAAAAATAGCTAGTTAAAGCTAGACTTTAATCCTTTTTTGTCACCAAAAAGCCCGCGCTTTTCGCTACTAAGAAGCTATAACATATAGCCTAGTAATAGCTCAACCAATCAGAACGCTGCATTGATAACAGACCGCTAGTTGGATTTTACCGTTATACTATACCATACCATACATACCATACATACCATACATACCATACATACCATACATACCATACCATACCATACATACCATACATACCATACCATACCATACATACCATACCATACCATACATACCATACATACCATACCATACCATACATACCATACATACATACATACCATACATACATACATACCATACATACCATACATACCATACATACCATACCATACCATACCATACTATACTATACTATACTATACTATTCATTCATTCATTCATTTATTTAATTATTGATAAACGAGCAAACTCTCATCAAACGTGACTACAAAAACTGCCTTTCTGTTGGTAAAAAAATTTCTCCACCTTATCATTGGACAACGGTGGATTAATTTGAGCTACGTAGAACTTATAAACCAGCAAACAGCCAAAAAGTAACAGCATGTGGAACCGTAATACTTAAGAAATAGAAATATTGTATCGTATTTTGATTCTGAGTTTATGTTTCCTAGGAGGGCCAGTAATTATTGAGGTTGATTCATATGTTTCAAGCGTGAGTTCCATCAACGAAAAAAACATGGTGAGAAAAAAAAACATTAAAAATACACAAATTGATCCCGGTAATGCACTTATAAAAAAGGGTTGTTTGCCACTTACAAAACGTTTTCAGGAAATCCTGTTGGAAAGGAACCGGAACACGACTTTTCAGGTCCTTCCGGTAAAAAACTTCCGCCAGCAACGGAATTTCTGAAAAGGTAGTCCTGTTTTTCCGGACGGAATGTTTTAAACGAAATTCGTGTTCCATTTTATGAAAGCCGTCTCTTTATACCAGTTTTAGACTTTCACGGCCATCTTTCGGTAAAACTGATTTGTGCAAATGGTACACGTGATTCCGGGGCGAAATTTTTCCCCTCCTAGCTGTCGGTTTTAGCGGCCGTCGCCGTCTTCGTATCTCAAACGCTCTAATAGTCCTCCTATTCTTAGAATCAATGGATCTTAGGTCACATAACTTATGAGATTACAGTAGAAACTAGATTTCTCGAATCCTCAGTTTTGCGAAATTCCCGATGATTTGAACCAAACTTCACTTTTCTTTACCAGTCAAAAACTGTTATTTACCCCCGATTTTTTATAACTCTCTGATTCGTACCAATTCAGGGTAGTTCGAAAAATCAGGATTCAGCTTCATCTTTTTTCTTACTTCTTTGTTTCTTATTTCTTTTTGCCTTACTACAAAAATTAATAGTACTTTCGTTGCCAACAGGATTTCTCGCTGGATATGTATTTCAGACGAAGATGGAAGGATCCGCGTCTATCCTATCAGCCGTTTCCCCACAAACCACCGGATCAGAGATTGGTCCTTAACGCAGAGCTTATCAAGTATATTTGGCAACCAAACATTTATTTTCGGAACAGCAAGGAAGCGCATTACCATTCTGTTCCAACCCAAAATGTTTTGTTCGGTATCAGCCCCGATGGAAGCATACTGCTAAGTACCAGGTGGGTACAACCAAGAGAGAATTATGAGACAGAGAGGTAAAAGCCCAGTCTAGCCCTTGGAATATGTAAATTTCACCAAAGTTATTTTTAGATCAATTAAACGCTTAAAATTAATCGGAATTTGGTTTCCGGAAAGGTCCGCAATCTTTTATTCAGTGTTGTCAAGTGAGAATTCAGCAGCTGCTATTGCAATATTCTGAATTGTTTTCTTTGAGGTAGCCGCGCGTGGAATTGATGACGTATCAAACAATCGATTAAAATTAAATGAGCGGACGTCTCAGGAATTAGACTTCCGTTTAGTTACAACCTCTAAAAATAACTTAAGTGAAATTCATATCCCGACCAACGCCCTTTGATTCCCTCTCGGTCCCCTCTCATGATAAAACAATTGAAATCTACCGCCCTGCGGTCCTGGTCCACATGTATCCGGGTACCGTAAAGTTCCGAAAGTATTAAACGACCCTCGCTCGTTTCGGATTTAGCAGCCTTTTCCTATTGCTACTATCGGAGGGTCGCTATATTCAGGGGGTCGCTACTTTCGGGAAGCTAAAATGCATACTGCACATCCATTTGAGCTGTTCGAAGTAACGCTAATAAAATCATGACTTATGTGAAAACATCTACTCTTTTTATTTGAAGAAACTTATTTCAATTTATTTCATGTTATTGTTTTGAAAAAAAAAACAAAAAATCTAAAGACTTGTTCGATTACGGTATGGCTATTCACAGATGACTAAGACTTTCTGGAAAAAGTGTAGCGTACTTTTAGAACTATATTAAGGAATGTCAAAAGTTCAATATAATCGTTAAAAATAAACCTCGGATCAGTTTGGTAAAGCTTGTTGTATCTTTAATTTTTTGTTATTTCGAGCAAAGACGGAAACAACTTTTGAGGTCCCTACTTTCGGAGGGTCGTCATTTTCGGAGATTTTTTTATCCGTTTTCAAAACAAAATGCGCGTTCACACTCTCATCCACTTGACATGATACGCTTAAAACGATAGAAATTCGATAGTATCCCTTACAGAGCATGCGTAATGCTTGTAATATATGATTTATGACACCATCGGATTTGAAACCCTCCGTTTCGTCCGTCCACACGTGCATGTAAGCGAGAAGCTGGTGTTTCTAATAATTTCCACTCTGGGTAACCACCACTTCTATAAAAAAAATTTTTTCTCTTGCAGAATAACCACTGTACTTGACTGTCAGATGGACTTTCGACATTTTCCCATGGATCAACAGATATGCCATTTTCAAGTTGGTTCCTGTAAGTAACTTGAAATTACCGTTGTTTAAATATCCTAATATACAAGGCCAGCCATTACGGTAAAAGGGCTATTTAATCCCTCCAATCTTCAACTGATTGAAAGTTCCCTTTGGTCATAGTGCTAGCCTGAGGAAACTGTCGACATTTTGCGACGTCACCACTGTTTTCTCCATGAAATGACGTACTGAGAAACGAGCGCAAAAATTCCATACTGATGACGCTTCACTACCGAGATCTGGGTAGTATTTCTGCTTGGCTGTAGCAAATTTCCCACGCGACATGACCAATCAGGAGCACGACCCAGTTCTGGGTAGTTCCTTCCTCCATTTGAAATGTTCCTTCCTCAGACGTCAATTCGCGAGGAAACCAGTGGTGACGTCAAGAAAGATCGGTTTTTTTCTCAGGCTATAATAGCGTGCCACCCTTGCCACAGTACAGTAACTTCTGGAACAAGTCGACAAAAAGAAAGTTGGCAACACAAAGTACCGTTGTATTCTGTTTTGAGTGGTTTCCCGCTACACTTATCTTAAGGTCTCGGTAAAGGAAAACGAGGTGCCCACAGAAAAAAATTCTAGTCGCGCCAGTATTTTCGCTACAAAGGCAAGTTATATATCAAATTAAAGCTAAAAGACTAAATTACCTTATAAAATATTTTATTTCATCGAATTTCAAAAGGCGCTTAAGTTTTTTGCTCTCGAACTCAGAGGTATCGAGTTTACTGCTGAAGCTCCAGCCCTTTCGCGTTGTTAAATATTCACTTTCTTTTTATTGCATCTGATTGACAGATAAAAGACCTAAAAAAGGGTGTGAGGAAATTTGTATATGTCTCGTATTAGGGGAATTATTACATTTCAAACTAAAAAGTCGAATCTCGAGCACGATTTACGCAAAGAAACTGACATAAAATGAGTTACAAAGGGAAATCGGAAAATTCCTCACACCCTTTTTGAGTCTATATCATTATCCATCATATCTGAAAGTTTCAAAGCGATAGCTTAAAACCTGTCCCGACTGGAGGTCGGAGAATTTTGATTTTTGCGTCTAAAATAGAGTGAGAGAAAATCAGCTCTAAAGATTTAGCGCGAGGTCCACGCTTGGCTGGTTAGCTCAGGAAAGGCTCATTTTAGAAGGGTTAAAAAGCACTTTCTGATTTTCTTTTTCTGCCAAAATAAAATTTAGGACCCACTCATGCCAAAAATCCAAAAAAAACAAAATCGAGCAATGTACTAAAATTTTCATTTACCGAGACCTTAAATTTTCTTTTAAATCTTGGTAGAAATAACTGCCTCAAGAAAGTGATCTTGTGTAAAAACATAACTCTCTTTCTAAACAATTGCATCTCAAACAAACACCAACTCTGTGTTTTGCATCATGCTTTTAGTCACCTTTTCTTTTGCTGTCCTCTACACAAGTCGGCAAATGTTCCGATGGAGGGCATGATTCCTGAATCTCGTACCCTGATCTCTTGTCGAAGACCTGTCAAGTATAAAGAAAATTCAGTTTTTTTGTTTGGCTAGATTGTGAGCGAATGACGCGAGTGTTGTCTTCTGCGCGTGCTATGGCGTGTGCAATTCATTCTTTGCAAAGTTTTCAGTACTAGTAGAGTCTATTCAAAAAAAAAAAATTTAAACTGAAGAAGTAGTTTCCGTCTCAATATAACTTGTAAAACTATTTTTATCTTATCTTTAAAGACTTTTAAAACTCTCTCTCGGTATCAATGTAAAGACTTTTGAAAGGGTAAAAAAAATTAAATCAGTACGCGTATTGATTTGAACTTCTAACGCGCGCTATGGTAAATAAAATTAACATAACTGATTCGTTGAATTTGATGCTGCAAAGAATAAAAACAACAAATTAGTTGGTTCATACTTAAGATGTGCGTTATCAACACGTTTTGTTATAGAAAACTTCACAGCTCTAACAAATAAGTTATTTAACACGTCGAAAAACGGCCCCGATTTTGAGGATTTATTTCGAGCCTGCGCCCCTTCATCGCCTGTCACATTCCTAACAGGCGCTCACGTGAACAAATCGGATTTGACCAGATTCGTCAATAAGAGATTTGACCAGATTCGTCAATAAGAGATTTGGGTACGAGATAAATGATTCCGTTCTCTTTTTAAACTTTATTGTGGTCTCTGCATTTCAACGGTAGGAAGACTCGCCAACAGTTGACAAATTAAGCAGTTAGAATCATTGCAGTATAAGTAATGGTAACAGGACTGAGTGGAGTCCAGTTCGGTCGGTAATCATATGAGTGATTATCAAAATCGGACGACCGCGTAGCGGGAGATCGATTTGTTTAATCACGAGTATGATTACAGACCGAATTGGAAGACACGAAGTTCTGTTACCAATTAATCATAAATTTAACAAAATTTGTGATATAATAGGCTCTTTTTTAAATCAAATACAAGAAATTTGAAATTTTGTTTTGCTAGCGGTGAAAAAAAAAGAGCCATTTAAGCGCGCGCGTGATAGCGCGTACTGTGCAATTACTTAGGCATGACGCGTACTGTCCTATTCAACTGTCCAATTAAGGCTGAAATCAGGGCAGTTGATAGCCAATCAGATTTGACAATTTTGTTATAGTTATGATTAAGTTTGAAATATCACTAATACACTTTTCAGACGTCTTTGCCCTCGTCGTCCTACTGCGCAAACTCCGTAAATATTGAATCTGACTCGCTGTCGTTACTTATCCTTGTATTCGTTTTATCCTTTTTTTTTTTGCATAAGACTCCGAAACGGAGGATAATGTCATTGTAAAATGGAGGAATGACAATGGAATATTTATTCCCAGTGACGTGGAGATACCTCAGTACGATTTAAGTAACGTAAAAGCCAAAAATAACAGAGGAGTCTATACCACAGGTTTGCTTGGTTCAATTTCTTACGCTGCCCTAGTTATCTTTAGTTATTATTTCGCTTTTATTTTATTTCCTTATAGTTACTTCCTGGACAAGAAAGCACACAGAGAGGTGAAGGTCGAGATTCTTAGGGTTCAGAAAAAAATCGATTAGAAATTTAGGAATTTCCAAGATACAAGTTATTTTAAGAAAAGAGAAAAATATGACTTTAGTCCAAAACTGAAGATGACATCAACTGCGGAAATACAATGCAAATCTAAGTGAGAATATAACCATCGTAGTTGTAATCGCAATTTAAGCAATAGACCTGTATAATTTGTACGTTATATTTTCCCAGTTCAAACCATAGGATGTTTCTCTAAGGAATTTTCCTTTTGTTTTTTTATTAGTTGCGCACGCATCTACCCGTGAACAACGCGACTTTTGAAAGAGACAATCATCACATGGACTGAAATGGGAAAACAAAACATACAAGCAAAAGAGTTCTGTTGCAAATTAAGAACCCCCAGCCCCCCGCAAAAAAAAAAAATTGAACCAATGGCCTCCGCGTTAGCTCTTCAGCGCCAACGCGGAGGCCATAGATCATCCCAAAATACCTCAATAACGCTCTCATAAATTTGCTTAAACGTCACGAAAATATCGAGGCGGCTATTGAAAGAAAAATTTCCCGTGAACGATTTTGGAAGAACAGTTCCCAGCGCCGAGAAATGTGTCTGCAAGTAAAATAGGTAATGGCCTCATTTCGTTGCTATAACAATTCCGATGTCATTGTAATACTGAACATAACAAATTTTCATCTTCATCTAATACAGCTGTGTACAGCTATGTCTTTGTTAATGGCGACGTAGTTTATGCTCAAACTTGGGAGGTATTGACCCTGAAAAACCCTATCGAGCCACCTTAACCTCCCTTCCACACACAAAAGAAAATCTGGGGAGGACTGTTTGGTTCAAAGATATTCAGTCTTTGTTTTATGTTCTGTTTAGGTGTTTTCTCTGAGCCAGATGCCACGTTCATCTTCAAAAGACGCCTTATGTTCTACGTATACGGCTTTTATCTACCGGTTACTTTGGTTGTCCTTCTTAGTTGGGTCTCCTTCTGGATTGATCCGGAATCCACCCCCGCCCGGGTCTCCCTGGGAGTCATAACCATTCTCGCCATGGGAAACTTTCTTCATGGGGGCGGTGCTACTCCAAGTGTGTCATACGCCACTGCTCTCGATGTTTATATCATCACATGCTTTGTGTTCGTTTTTGCCAGTTTGTTGGAGTATGCTGCTGTACACTGCGCTATTAACAAATATCAAGATGTTACTATGAATGAGGTAGGTGCTAGTTGCACCGTAGCCAGGCTTTTATATTAATCGAGGAAAAAAGCTATAGACGTCGCGAAAAAGGTTGAGAGGGTATACCTCCACGCTCCCCCCTTCAAAAATCGACACCATTAAACCCTATACCAAATGTACAAAATTTAGGGGACGAAAGAGAGGGTTAGATATATGGAGGATATTACACGGCGGCGCGAAGATATGCACTTTTGTTTTTCCCCACGAGAAAATAAAATTTCATAGCGGAGCTTCCGCGAGCGGGCAGCCCCATACCTCGGAGAAAATGGGAACCCACCGATGCCAGAAAATTTGGTTACAACGTCTCTGTACGGACGCTGAGGGAGGGAGGAGGGAGTCAGGAGTCAGCCCGTCGGGGGGAGAAGTATGTTATACCGGAAGTACCCGCGCGTTTCGGCAGTAAATCGCACAGCCACTCGGACATTTAGAGATAAAACAACAACAACAAAGCCGATTCTTTCTTTCCACTTAATTTTAATGTCTACACTGATAACAGAAAGAGCTGGAGCGAGAGACAACAAACAAAGGAGACTAATTACGTTGGAAGAATAACAGGAGACTTTTATAGCGGTGGTGAGAAAATGAGAAGTGGTAAAGCCCACCATGGAGAAAATGAGTGCCATCGAAAAATATAACGTTAACAGGAGGAACACAATACAACATTTCCTCCATAAAACGTGTAACTAGGATGTTTCTGGAAGTTTCACGTTGTAGTCATGCAAAACAACGGCAAAAGCCGCGGCACACGCCTGCCAAAACTATATAGCCCAACACTCCAAATGAACTTAATACAAATACCAAGAGGGCCAGTTCTTGCTCAGATAACTTGTTTCATTGTTATTATTTTTTTCAAGATGCAGCTGGAACTCATTCACTTATTGATCTATACTCGTGAGACTAAGTGACTGTTTTTCGTTCGCAGGGGCTAAGCTAGCCGTATCTTTAGAACAAAACGCACGTGCATACCTGAAAAAGTAGAAACGGATAAATGAAAAACATGTTAGAAAAACAAAGGAAGGGAGATGATGAAAACAACATGAGTTTTAAAACTCAGAGCCGGCATGATTAACTACATCGCGGATGAAGCTCGAGCGATTTCGAACGAAATATTCCAATGGTTTTGAACTTTTTGCTCTTATTTTTAGAATTTGTTGTTCTATTTTGTCTTCCCAGAGCAGAAGAACACCCCTTTTCGGTAAAGGACCAGACACCATTTTTCACTGACTCCTTTTTTCCCCTGATTACCAAAGTAATGTAGATCCATTATCATTGTAGCGAAAATGTCACCGAAAAAGCAAACTCGAGCTGTTTCAAACTACATGATCCTTCCATTTAGACTAATTTGTCAACGAATTAATGAGTAGCAAATTTTGCTGGAGTCAGGAATTCTTTAGGACCGTAGTCAAGCTCAGAAATAAGCGGCCTTGAATTTTATGTCCTCCATCAGTACAAAGCGCAATTAGGAAATTTCACGTCGTAGTCGTGCATTGACAGAAAAAAAAATGTACTAAAAAGTGTTCTGCACGTGCAGGAGTTGTTGTTTTGCTTATCAAACCTACTGCTTTATTTTTGGAGGTTCCCGTTGCCGTCGCCATTGTGGATTCAGATATAAAAGGCATTAAATATCGCCCGGCTGGACGGGCAAGTTAGCCTAGCTAGGGGTATAGCTAGAAATTTTGGAGAAGTACAGACAGTTTTCCAAATCAACCCTGCTAACCAATCTCTTAGATGGTTTTCACGCAGGTGACTCAATTGTATTTCCTTTCATATCGGTACGATGAGATGGTCGTAGGTTCTTTAGTAGGCAGTTGAGCCCTTCCCGTGCGGCAAAATCGGGGAAAACACCACTATTTGTTTGAAAACATCAACCGAAAGAAGTTAACAGGAATTCTTTCGCTTGAACGCCTGCGCTGTAATTTTTTTTCTTGCGAGCATGTCTTAAGCGACAAACAATTTATTTATCTCTTCTTGCAGTTTATGGTCTGTACCTATGTTAAAACAAAACACGTTATAATGGGAAATTAACGCTCCATGAAATTGAGGTATTGGAAATTAACGCGACTTAAATTAACGCGAACTTAGTGGGAAACGGCTTCATTATATAGGAACTTTGACGCAAAAGAAAGGAGAACATTTTAAACTGAAGGACTTAACAAGACCTTTACCGGGAAGTGAAAGAAGGAAGACTTGTTGAAACAACAGAAACAGAGGTTAACGTATAATCTGAAATGGAAACTTTTGTTTGTGGTTCTTTTTTCGAAGGAGTTCAAGCGAAGAAATCCGGCGACTTTTTTTGAAATTCGCGTTAATTTCATGAAGTGTTTATTTCCCTGATCTCCTATAATTTTAAGAGTCTAGGGAGGGAATAGCATTCATTTTTATTAACATAAAAGTTATAGCGGGCTCTCGCACGCGCGAAGCGGAGCACCATTGGTAAGAAAATTTGTTTATCTATGCATCCCATAAACTTTTGTAGCAACTTGTAGTCACGTGACTGTGAGAACGTCCGTCCGCACCATAGGCATACCAATGTAAAATAACTCGCACAAGAGGTATGGCAATCCAAAAACTCAAGGTTTTTCCGGCAGGAAATCGCATGGCCACCCGTTGTGAAGCAGAGACAATTTTAAGAGTCAATAATAACAAAACGGAAAGTGGAAAATTGTTTCTGTATCCGTGTTGCCTAAAGTAATATATAGATTTAGTCAGGGCTAAAAGCGAAGCTCTGGTTAATAATACTTGTAAACAAAAAAAGTTAAATCTTGTAATGCTAAACGGGGAGGGCAATGAAAATGGCATCAAGATCAATAGATAACAATTATTCACCGAAGTGGAGGTGGCTAGTCGTGGATATTTTACCGAACTGCGAAGCAGTGAGGTAAATATCCACGACTAGCCACCGACACTGAGGTAATTAATTGTTTTAGTATATACTAAAACAGTGAGATAATTGAGCACAAAAATGATGATTTTTAACTCAAATACTGTTGCCAACGATTACAATTTTGGCGCGTAATGACCGGGCGGCCGCGGCCGTCGCTTTTTCTTGCCGACAATTAAAACTTTTGCAGACATTTGTTTAGCTCTTGCGGGGAAATTTCTTCAAAAAGAGGTGTGCATTCTTTTTGTATTTAAAATCATTCTATAACAAAAGATTATTAAATTTAGTTTTAAGCTTATTTATGAACAACTCAACTAAATAAAGTAACGCAAGACTTAAACTTAATTTGCATTTGTAAACAAAACTTTTCACCGGTTTTATCGATAAATTCGTGTCAAAAACACAAAGCTTTACCTGTTAAAACTTCCAATCCGAACTTCGTCACCATCTTCGTGTATTTTGGAAACAGCTTGCTTGATTACTTGTGAAATGTCTTTGTTTGTTTACGGCAGCAAACCGGGAAAGGCATTTTGCTCGCAACTTACGCGAGTTTGGCGTCGCTCGCTCGGAGGAACTGGAGGTGAATCAGTGAATAGTGCAGGATATTCACTGATTGAGTAGCCAATCAGAGCGCGTGAAAAACACTATCCACTGTTTTAGTATATACTAAATCTAATTAGCAAAAAAAACAAATTGCAAGTGCAGCGCACTTTTTTTTCTAATTAGCAAAAAAAAAAAATTTGCACGTGCAGCACGCTTTTTGTCTTTTTTTGCGCTGTTTTGCACAACTACAACGCTGTTTTATAGGACTAAAATGCCAAACTTCCTAGTTACACATTATATTTATGGAGGAATTGTCGTATGTGCTTACCCAATATTTTGTCTCCTGTGTTCTTCGCTTTTATTTTTCACTGCCGCTCATTTTCACCTTGCTGGCCGCTAGCATTTCTCATTGTCTCACAGCCGCTTTGAATTTTCATGTTTATCTTCCTACAAAATTCGTCTCTTTTGTTTTCAATCACTCGCTCTAGCTCTTTCTCTCAAATAACGTCGAAAAAGACACGACTTTGTTGTTGTTTTTTCTTTCTAAAAGTCCGGGCGGCCATGCGATTTCTTTCCAAATAAAACCTTGAGTTGCATTTTGGTTGCTATACCTGTTGATTGAATTATTTTACATCGGTATGCCTGTGGTGCGAACGGACGGTCGGGCGGACGGACGGTCGGTGTACGGTCACGTGATTACCAAATTTTCTCGGATGGGTAGTTTACCGCACGAGAACTGCGCTATTAAGCTTAGATTAATTGTCATGTTCACAAATTTGGAGAAGAAAGACAGAGAAAATGAGAAAGTAGGCGAAACGGGCTAGCGAAGCTCAAAGAGAATAAGAGCGACAGAGAGCTACAACGAGAGATGAAAAATAAAGGTGACGAATTTCGTTGGAAGAAAAACATGAAAATTTTAAAACGGCGTTGAGAAAACGAGAAATGCTAGCGGTCAGCAAGTTGAAAAAGAGCGGCAGTAAAAAAAAAAAGGCGAATAGGAACACAAGCATCAACATTTTTTAGGAGCACATACGACATTTTCTCTGAAAACGTGTTACCAGCAAGTTTCACGTTTCAACAACAGGGAAAAGAAATTTCCAAACAAGGGAGCTGCATGTGCAAAGTTTTTTTTTTTTTTTTTTTTTTTTTTTGCTAATTAGACCTATCGATCTTTTTTTGCCCTTCTCGTTGCCGTAGTCGTTTAGCACCACACGATCTTATTTTTTGAGTTTATTAACGAGACCTTCGCTGCTTTTATCCCTGGCTAAATCTATATATTAATTACATAGAATGTCATTTTACATTGTACTCGCATCTCATCAGATCTGTCTTCTCATTCGCTAAGAAACTAACTAGACTGTCTGAGCTCCCTATTAGAGTTTGACTCAATAGTGATATAACAAGGAGAAATGAGATGTTGATCATTTTTTAGAAGGGTTTACAGAAACATAAGAGTTAATGATATGTTCTGTTGTTACCCCGACAGCCTTGTAGCTTGGTAAAATTTTCAGAGCCAATGAAATCTGAAGGCAGTCCGGAAAGCGCGGAGAATGAAAGTGTTTCCAGCAACGGCACAGCTCGCCTTCCTATGTCGTTACACAACAACGAAGAAAGATCCGTGTTACGACGCAAGTCCTTCGCTCAAGAGGCCAAAATGTACTATTTCCACTTTAATTCCACGTCACTTGATCGTTATTCGAGAGTTGCATTTCCTGTGCTGTTCTTAATATTCAATGTCGCTTATTGGCTAACATACCATGGACCAAGTGTCAAAAACCATGGCGTGTGGTAACAGTCTGAAATAGTAACTACAGTACCAGCACCCGACACATGGAGTTAAACCTCCATATAAAGTACTCTTTATGGTCTTCTTGTTCAACCTTCTATCCAGGATTACAAAGTTCTGCCCTTAACCCTAGCTAGATATATGACAATCTGTTGGCTTGACCAGCCCGGGACTAAACAACTGACCTTGCCGGAAACTATAAGAGGCTGGCCTCATTTGACAAGAGGAGTTTGCAACGGGACCAGACGAATGATACAGTCACTTTGTCTTTTTTTTTTTTTAAGCATTCAATGTTGTATCTGATTCTCATTCAGCAAAGCCTTTAATTTGTTCTCCTCAGATAACCGCTCAAACACCTAGTATATCTCGCTAAAATAGAAGAGTACAATTTTTACGTTTTCCATTCCTCTTTGCTGTCATTGCTGGCAGATTTTTGGCTCGTCTGGCAACTGCGTAAACATCTAAGAAAAACACTGAAAAGTGGTGTTCTGCATAATGTCAAAAGATTTGGTGAATTAATATGTGAAGGACCAGAGGACCAGAGCCGGGGAATATTATCTTCATATAGCCCCAAACGTTTTATCTTATGTCCAAGAAATGTAAAGCAACAAGATAGAATAATGAGACAGAGAGGTAAACACCCGGTTTTGCCCTTGGAATATGTAAATTCCACCAAAGTTATTTTTAGACCAATTAAAGGCTTGAAACTAATCAGAAGTTCGTTTCCGGAGAGGTCGGTAAACTTTTATTCCGTGTTATAAAGAGAGAATTCAACAGTGGCCATCACAATATTCTGCATTGTATGATTCGTTTCAAACAACCGCTTAAAATGTGCGGGCGTCTCAGGATTTAGACTTCCGTTTAATTACAACCTCTAAAATTAACTTTAGTAAAATTCACATATCCTGGTCAATGCCCTAAGATTCCCTCTCGGTCCATCCAATCTCTCTTGATAGCAACCAGAAAGGAATATTTTGAATCAGATCGTAGTAGTTTTAAGTACTAAGGCGGGTTGATACCTCTACGTTGCGTCCTTTCCATATGGGCTCCTGCTGAGGCCAATTACAGCGGGCCCGGAATTAGGTTGTTATGCGTTTAAATAAAACAAAAGCATCGGCAAAGAATAAAAACAATCCCGCCGCAGCCAAATGCGCCACGCCTCTCTTTAGATTCTGAATTCCAGGATAAAGTGAATCCACACCTGTTTTCTGAGCATTCCTCCTAAATGCAACTTCACTGAAATGCCTAACGCGAGGCTGATTTCGAGAACCAGCAGATGAGTCATGAGTTGTTTCATCATTTCCCCTACAAATATTCCCAGTAACCCTTTGTCAATGATTTCCAGAACTTTGTCCACATTCAAAACAACTCTTGACCTGACACTTTTTCGGCGCTCTAAAGCTTTCCTTAGATAATAAATCTAAGGAAAACTGTACAGCGATGAAATAGTGTCATAATTTCTGAAGGCCAGGATAAAGCCGTTCAATTACTGGTTTTTCGTTCTTCTTTCCTCTCTTTCTTTCTCTCTCCCTCTCTTTTTTTTCTCTTTTCTTCCCTTTCTTTCAAACGCGAATTTACGCCAACCGCTCGGACAGAAAACATCTTAATGTTCCTTTTGGTCTTTGGAGGAAGACTGCAACTTTTCATGAGAATCGCCACTCTCAAGAAATGTCCTTTTCTAGAGGTTAACTGAGTCAGATTTTCTTGCACTGGCAGCCACCGATTGAATACTTGGAACATTTTCGTAAATAATCGTCCATCTGCGACCAATTCCTCTCCACCTGATCAGGAGTTTGGATCTGATGCCATTTAGCCGGTCCAAAGTTTCCTTTCCAGGGTGGAGCTGTTCAATGCTACTGTTTTGCGTCTTCCTTTTTTCATGATTCAGTTGAGGGGACCGGAGAAAAAGGCCAAAAGCCATGTAACATTGATCCAAAAATTCCCAGGAAAATCTTGTGGAGGCGTGTGAGGCAGAGCGGTTAACACCTCAAACTTCGGATCTGAAGGTCCGGGGTCACGCCTCGCCCGTCGCGTTGTTACCTTAGACAAGGAACTTTACTCCCCTTTGTCCCTCTTTACCCATAAATGCGTACCGGCGACATATTGTTCCGGGGTAACCCTGCGATGGACTAGCATCCCTTCCGGGGGGGGGTGGAGTAGCAATACTCCTAGGCATGCTTCGTGCTAAGGAAACCGGGATAAGCTCCGGCGTTTGGGCCTTTGGCTCTTGTGCGCCCTTCTAACTAAGAGGAAAATTAGATCCACGATCAGCCTGAACGTTCAAATTTTCCTTTACATTGCAAGAACCAACAAAACACTCTGGGCCATGAATATCATGAGGGGACCTTTGCTTTGAGTTGTCTTCTTGGTTGGCCGCCTTGTTCAGAAAGGTCCTTATTGGCAGTAGACCCTTCCGTACAGTACTCTATTGTCTTGCCTCTGATTTTCCAAGTACTTTTTTTCCCATTTCAAGTGTTTCAAAGCCACATTTAACAATAAAATGAATGGAAATTTGGAATTCTCCTTTGAGTCTAAAGAGCAAGAATTAACTCGGATTAAGATTGCTATCAATATCAAGCCACGGCGAAGAGCTTGGGTTTTCTCTCTTATTTTTCTTCAACCCTTTGAGAATCGGCTTTCTGTCCATAGCAACCGTCATCTGTTGTATTTTCTCCTTTTCATTTTGACAAAAGGAGAAAAGTTTCCCAACGTGTTTATCGCGAAAAGAAGACGTTGAGAAATTGTTCTTTAGCTTTGAAGCCTTTGAAGACCGCGAGGTGAACATTAATGGTGTGTGAGATTCTTATCACTTTTCTTGGCATGCGACCTTCTCAGCCGGAGAAATCTTGTTGTTTTCTAAACCGCTTTTTCAGTTTCTTGACCTTGACTTTTTCTCGACTTGAACATCCTGACCTCTGCCTTTGCTTGCACCGCATTCACGAACAGTCGTGGATTGTTCGTCGCGCTCCTTATAGCCGCAAATGTCGAAAAAGTTTCTTCATCGGGGACTGAAATTTGTCGTTGACGCTCAAAAACTTTATCCTTTTCTGTTCGAAATATGACACATGTCAAAAACTGAAAAATTAACTGTCCAAGCCAGGTCACCCCTTCGCAGAGGGCAGCCATACTTCGGATTTTAACTGGCTCAAATTCAGTGTAAGACGTAACAAATGAATAGGATGACGAGTAAGTCGCTCATTGTAAGCGCGTTCATTGCATGTAGAAACAAGAAAAAAATAACCAGGAGTAATGGGAAATTAAAAGGGAGCATCCGAAAAGCTTGTTAGGTGATGGAAAAGTGTAGGATTTCCGGCGTAGATATTGATGCTGATGGATATGATCGAGTATGCAAATAATTTGAAACTTAACTGTTGGCGCGTGCACCAAGTTTAGATTTGCGATCATGACAGATTTCCCCTTTCTTATTTAAAATTCCAAAACGCGAGCATATTTTCTATTTTCTCAACTCCCATAGCACACCTTATTTTACATAACTGTCTTTGTTTCTTATGGATGGAAATTGAAATTGAAACGTTAACAATAAAAACGAAAATTGAAGGTAGAATGTATAGAGCAAACTGAAAAAAGACTAAAACGAAAGAAATGCTAAAAAAGAATTAGAGATAAATTGTGTAGTCAGTATGGCCTCTATGATCCTATTATTTATCCTTAACTTCCCACAAAAGCCGGAGTGAACTACAGGCCTGAACGGAAAACAGAGCAAGAAGAAGAGTGTGCCGCCTTACAGTATTTTTAAGTATTTCCTGCGACTTTTATTTCCTATCCCATATCAAGCAGTAACCATTCTAGATTGAGTTCAAAAGTTCACAATGGTTCTAGTCTTCTTCGCAGCCATTTGGGCCGGAGTAACACAAGCTGCCCGCCCCCTGGAGCAACCAGGGTAATTTCCTTGATGACAGTTGAGGATACTGCCTCGAAGATCACTCTGACTATCAGAGTATAAAAGCACTACTCGTGGTTGGAATGGGCGTAACTCCTGGAAAGAGAAATGTTTGCCTCCTTGATGGAACAGGAGTAGACTGAGCTAACGGTATGGAATGAGTAGTACAAGTAGCAGGCCTCCGCATTGTTTAGGCGTTCTCTCTCTCTCGGTGACGTCACAGCTCACGGTAGAACCGAGCCGAGAACGCCTCGGGACTAGGCTGAATATTCCACAGTGAATCGAAGACATTTCGCAGCGTTAACAACTCGCACATCTCCATTGTCGTTCGTGGTCTTTTTTTCCCCTCAAACTTTCCCTATTTTTAAAGACACTCAGCAACTCTTGTTTGAGTTCTCGCAGTTTCTTCTCTGCTCTATCGAACTTGATTAGGTGGAAACACTGTCGGCAAACAAGCAAATTGGTGCCCTTGTCGTATTTTTTCACGTCAAATTCTACCAAAGATTAAATGACTCCGGCTAAATCTGTGGAAGTTTTTCCAAATACATAAACCTTGTTTTTTACTTGTAGGAATAGAAGAACAAGTAAAACACTTACTGTTGCTTTCCGAGGTTTTCTTTGGAGTATCTTCCATCCCTTTTCTTAATAACTCGTCGCGTGACTGGCCGGCAAGGGTTTTCCTTTTACAATAACAACTAATAAAACGAGCTGCTCATTGGTACGAGTTGACAAATCCGCAAAACAATGGAAAAGGAATTTAGGGAATGTTTGTCGCATTGAAACAGATTGGTGGGGGCGGGGAGTATTGCGTGACTCCGGCCAGAGCGGCTGCGAAGAAGACTCCGATCTTGTCCTTGAACACCAGCTTTGTGCCCAATTTCTGGGGTGTGCCTGTGTTTTTGTACTCGGGCACCGCACCCAGGCTTCCCTGAACTGTGAACATAGCCTATGGAATTTTTTCTCGGTTTCTGATTGGCGTAAATCCTAAAGAAAAAGGCAAGAAGGCACGCCCGGTTGAAGGTTCCTTTTTAGTGTCGTCACGCAACGCTCCTCCCCATGGCTCAGTCACACTTCCGACCATGACATGTATGATAATAACTAGAAGTTCTTGGTTTTCAAACACTACCGATATTAAGGCTGTCATGTTGGTTGAAATACAAAATAATTTTCCATACAAAAGAGTTTAGTTCTTAGTGGCGAAGGGATACAGGTTTTGTTCTTGTCACCAACATGGCTGCCGCAACGTTAGTTACAAACCGGCAATAAGGGGTGGGGAAAGGGGTTGCCAACAGTCTCGTTCGATTCCTCGGGTGTATGTCGCTCATTTTCGGCTAAGCCGTGTTTTTGCAACGAAACCGTTACCTACACAAGCAATGGGAGGGAGCTTAGGAAACGACGAAGGCACTGAACGGTAGCGAAAACGTCCCCCAAAAAGTGAATTCGCACTCTAATCAGTCCGGAATATCCCTAAATTTAAGGACAGGGCCAACTGGTCACGCGCCACTTTTCAACCAATGAGGAGGCGCGCTTGTGTTTATCAACAAACAAATCAAAACATCGCCCCGGTGATCAAAAATGTTCAAAACAACGGACGGAGTCGGACAGAATCAGTCATCGTTTCGAGGTTCTCAGGCATATTTTTAAGACTTTTCATGAGGCATACACAATTTTTTTAAGTGGACAGCGTATCGGAAGCCATATTGGAAGTGTCTCGTGAAATATTCAGCACATTTTGTGGCTTATTCTTCTTTTATCTTTTAAACAACGCGATGTATAGGAGAGATTTTGGTCGGCTTTCAAGGTAGGTGAACAAGTATCTATTATTTTTTCGATTCACAGATTTTTTACGAAGTTCTAGATATTTTTCCTCGATTGTCATATCGATTAACTTTTATCATGTTGAATGTGGGGATGGCAGACAATCTAGAATTTTGGTAGACAATTTTTGAATTTCGAGGTCCAAAACACGTACGTTTTCCACTCCCGGGTTTCTCACAAAAGCCGTGTTATTACTTTTTTTCGCATTAGTACGAACCTTTGCCTTTTTTCTTTTCAAGGCCAAAACAACTTTATTAGTCTTATGGATATTCACGTCCGACATCTCGCCTCACTTTGCCGAATTTGCGGGGATGAAATTGAAGATCACAAGCGCAAGGTAGATACTAACCTCTTTGTTTCTGAAATTTACTAATCTGGAAAGATTTAATGTTGTTGGATTCTCCAAAATGTTCATCCGCCGTTAAAAAACAATCAAAGAAACAAGGCAAATCTCAATTGTAAATGCTGTATTTCGCTACTCATTGAACATGCACTGATTATCTGGGATCAAATTAAAACATTGCAGGTACTACAGCAAGCAAGGAAAGCACCAGATGCGTGAAGTCAACACGAAACAACACAAAAAAACAAACAAGAAAAATTAATAAATTTGAACTACTTTCTATAACTTGTTATGATGACTGGTTCTTTGATTCTTGTCCTGTAGAAGTTAATAGGTAGTACCAATCCTGTTTTGTAGTCTTTTGTACGATCTCAACGAATTTTCACACTCTCTCTAAGGCTATTTTTACGCGGGACGAGTTTGCTTCTATCAAAAACCTTGCAAGCCATGCCAGTGAAGCCATGACCTCTGCAATCGGTCCGGAAAGAGTTCGAACACCCCAATGATTCCTTGCAATGATTAATGCTCTTATTCTCTTACATGACATGTTTTCTTTGAAATATTAAATGTGAAACCTAGACGAGTACTGTAAGCTCATCTTTAATTTTGTCCGACTCCGTCCGTTGTTTTCCAAATTTTTGATCACTGGGGCGATGTTTTGATTTGTTTGTTGATAAACACTAGCGCGCCATCTAACTATTGGTTAAAAAGTGGCGCGTGACCAGTTGGCCCTGTCCTTAAATTTAGGGATATTCCGGACTGCTAATAAATTGCTCTTATTCCAACCCTTTTTTATGATTCATTGTCAAATGTTGACGACTTTTTCGGGAGATGAATTTTAAAGGACTGTATCTAAGTTCACAAAAAGAGAAAAAGGAAATCGTTGTCTTGTGTTCAAGTTCTCCATAAAACGTGAAAGTTTCACGCCGTCGCCGTTAGGATTAAAGCTACGTGCTAACGGACGCAACAACGAGCTCCCTACATTGTTGGGCCAACAATGTTGGGAGTTGTTGCGTGTGTGTTGGCAGTGGTGTGCAAACGGATGCAACAATTGTCAACATTGTTGGGCCACCAATGTTGGGAGTTGTTGAGTCCGTTGCACGTAGCTCAACGTTTGACCGGTTTCAAACTTTGCACAACAACTCTCAACAACATGTAACAGAGTAAGCAAACGGAAGGAATAATGTAACATCCAACAACGTTGGGAGTTGTTCGCCAACAATATTGCGTCCGTTTGCATGGGGCTTAAAGCTCCCTAATTTCTGGGAACAGAAAACAACAAGATCTTTTAGAGTGAAATACTGTTTATTTTATAGCAATGTTGTATCTACTGACGATCGTAAAAGTATTGAAAACATATCATAACAAACTATCAGAAGTAAGCGCGCGTAGTCTTTTTTTTCCTTGTCTTTCGACGGATATAAATTCATACCATCGGAGAATATATACATTCAATGAACTAAAATTTCGTAGTTAAAATTCTATTTACACACCTATAAAATTATTCTGCTACTTCTGTTACAACTCTTAAGTATGCAATAAAATGTTTAGAGCATCACGGATTCGCAATAGTCAGTCTATATCGTTTGCGTCAATATCGATCGGTTTAATCTTCGAATTTGTTCCTCCTTAATCGAAAATATCTTCGCGTAGTCCTTTTTCGTCTTTCAGTATATTTATCTTAATTACTGCACTAAAATGACTAACAATTCAAAATAACATATTCCTTTACTTTCCAACTCCTTTTAAAGAGAGAGAGAGAGACAGAGAGAGAGAGAGAGAGAGAGAGATGGCTAACTAGATATTTCGATTACTTCTCATAACTGCAAGGTAAGGTCAGCTTTCTTATAACTATTTTGACTATAATAAATGAAAAAGCGGCGGACAGCTTGTTAAGCAGGTTCCTTTAGACATCTTGCTGTCACACTTAAAATAATTTTCACGTAAAACGTAAATAAATTTTCTGCTGAAGAAAAGAAACTTACTGCGAGAGTATTTTAGCGGTGAATCATTTGATATATCTGCCTTTATATTGAAAACGCGATCCAGTATACGGTCTGTTTACTACCTTGAGTTTACTAAATTTCATCTCAGGAAAAAAGCAAAATTTCATTTTGTACAATAATAAAAACAAGGCGCACCAAAAAAAAACCGATTACAGATTAAGATGTTTCCTATTATAATATTCACATCAAATCCTGCGAGGCACTATCTGATGTGACTCGTCATATTGTTAAAGCAGTAAATATTTTCCATGGGTGTTGATTTGGCATCAGCTTTAGCCCCACGTATTTGGCAGTGCGCTCGATCGAAATCGTGGTACAAAAAGCGTCAACTGAAACCCTGGTATTTTCTCCCTGACGTTTACATAATTACAAGACGCAATGCTGCCCGTGTGAGAAGTTCATATGGGGAAAACACTGCGGGGGTCAAGAATATCATTAGCTATTGTCAAGGAGATGTTATATTTCCGTTCAACTGTGCCATCTGTCCTTGTTGCCACCGCGATGTTCTGATTTTCTCCTCCGGACTTTCTTTGTTAAACATTTTGAGTTTGTCCCTGAAGTGTAGATTCTCAGGTTTTTTAGAAACAAACTGATTTTCGGATTTCTCCTCGTCCGTCAAAGACATCCTAGCCAGGCGCCCGCGAGCGATCTCTGACCCATTCAAGTCGTCATTATCCAACCGCGCTGGCTTCGGAGCATACTGGGGCTGAGGGCGAGACTGAGGTCCGTCCAAAATGTTATCCTGTGAGCCGTACCTTACAGGGGGAGGGCCTTGTTCATCCATCTCCCAAGCATTTGGGTAAGACACGGGACGGGGTTTCCTTGGTAACGTGACGTAGCTGGGATAAGCAGATGACGGAATTGGAGGCTGACGATACGGAATTGCCGCACTAGAGTACGGTGCGGGGTAGTCCCGTGTGTTCCTAGGTCCCTGTGGTGCAAACGTCATCTGGGAGGTGTACCCGCCTAAGCTACGCGATCTATCGCCGCTGAGGGCATTGAAACGCTCGAAACTTTGTGCTGATTTGGCCGGTGGAGGCGGAGGAAAATTATCGTCGTCCAACAACTCCTCCGGAGGCGGGGGCGGTGGGGGAGGCGGTGGAAGGTCGTCGTCGTCATCATCAGGAGGCGGTGGCCTAACAGAATCTGGCCCAGCATCGCTTGGAGCTCTTGTGTTCACGTACCTAACGCTGGGGGCAGGTGTGACTCTGGCGGTGTAACCGGACGGTGTTCCCACCACGTACGTGGGGGAAGCAGGCTCCCTTATTTCAGTCGCCACATTGGAAAAGGACACTTGCTTCTTGGGTTTTACAGAATTAGAATTCTTAAGAACTGACACCGGTTCTGAACGCCGCCGATTTATCTCTTCGTCGATCAGTTTCCGTCTTCTTTCGTAATCAGCAGTAGCGCGATTCTTGAGTTCATTAACATGATCCTCGGTGGAAAGATTCCGCGTGCTTCCCTCTTGATACCGCTGATCTTCAAACTGCTGTTTCCGCAATTGCTCCTCCTTTTCCTGGATTATTTTCTGTTCCTCAAGCTGTCTCTTTCGCTCTAAATCTCGCTGCCTCTCAGTTTCTCGTCGCTCCTCAGCAAGAAGACGTTCTTGTTCTTCTTTCTGCTTCTGAGACTCCCGCCGGAGTCTCTCTTCTTGATCGCGCTTCTGCTGTATCTCTAACCGTTTCTTGTTACGTTCCTCTTCCTCTTGCATCTTTTTCTCCAGACGCAGTTTCTCCTGTTCCATTCTCTGTTGCTCTCTCTTTTCTCGCTGCTGTCTAAGCCAATCTTCTTGCTCCCTCTCTCGCTGCTCTTGGATGCGCCGCTGAGATTCTTTCTGTTGCTCGCGCTCCATCTCGAACTGCTCAATGCGACGCTGTTGTCTCTCACTACAAGAAAAAGAGAAGCAACGTCACAAGTTAAAAGGCAAATTCTTCCCACCTTTCCTTCAGGGTCTTATTTGGAATTAGTTTTCAAAACACGGCAGGTTTTGTAAGCATGGTTGCACGCGACAGTTACAAGCGACAAACAAGCAGACAATAGTCAGATCTGACAAACGCGAGACATTATTGAGTGATACACATTGTGCAAATTGATCAAATGACAATCTTGCTGATTGTACGAAAACGGTGACCTTGAATGTGTTGTGACATCGTTAAAATCATTTAATTCCTAGCGTGCTACCGGGTATATCTTAAATCTAGGTTTCTTCTTGGGTATTATGTGGGGCCAAGCTGTGCAAAAATTCATTTTTTGTTATTTGTAACGTTTGAAATAATGCCTGGGCGACATATTAACCCTTTAAACCCGAAGATCAAAATTTGAATTCTCATTTGTTGCCCCTATCCATTTCCTAAAGAAGTAGTGGGGAGAAGATAATAAAATATCACGCAAATTCATCTTGTGTGATCATGTCCTTAATTCTCATGACCACTCTGTTTTACAAAGCATTGATATTACAAGGAGAAATTTGATGCTGATCACTCTAAGGGCTTTAAGGGTTAATAGGGTGCTTAAGCAGCGACGTTTTTGAGCGACGCACGTCAACCGGAAGTGAGGTATTTTCCCTCTTAACATGCCTTGATGATATAAAATTTGTATTCATTTAGCTTCTTTACTGTTATAGAGGCGATTTGACTGAAAATTTGCGCGAAACCATCGTTAAAAAATGAAAAAAGGCCACTTCCGGTTGACGTGCGTCGCTCAAAAACGTGGTTGCTTAAGCTCCCTAATGTGACATGAAACTGCGATTTTGTCATTCACAAGAAATTTCTCAATTTTCGTAGCGAAAAAGGATGTGTGATTGGTTTTAAGTACAAAATGAAATTGCCAGCCTTGACAAGGTACGTATATAAGATGAAGTGGACCCTTTTGTTTTTCTCTCATTCCCGACATTTTCCATTTCATTTTACACACCTTCTCTGTCGCTCCTCTTCGTCATCTTTTTGCTGCCGTCTTCTCTCGGCCTCTTTTCGTTCTCTCTCCCGTTTCATGGTTTCATCAAGTAACAGATCAATCTTCCTTCCTCGTTCCATTCTCTCCTCTTTGTCAGGCGGGTGGTACATTACACGTGTTACAGACACCAAACCTCCCGCGGTGCGCTCCTATGGTAACAGAGACACACTTCATCAGTCTAAACGCAAATGGATTTGCGCGTTAACAAACCCAAACACACAGCAGTGAGTGGGAGAGATTTCATCAAATTCAGGATGCGCTTGTTTTTGCTCCTGTCTATAAATTCCTTTTATTTACTTATTTAAAATCTTAATTGTTACGCAAGGCAAAAAGAAAAGTTATAATAAGAACTTTCTAAATAACGGGGAGATTTAGAGTCACTTTAAGAAAAACGGTAAATGTCAGATTCTAGTTGAGAAATTCTCAAAATAGGAAAGCAGCACATAAAAAACAGCTCAAAACAATTCTTATGGATGCAAATGGCGTGAAACTACTGATTTTTTAAAAGACGTAATGACCAGTAGACGAAACGACAAGCGAAGGAAAAACTTGGTCGCGTGGTACAAATTCAAGTTGACCGTTTGGCGTCAAGGTGACTCAGTTTAAGTCTCTCTTTTATCACACTCATCTAACATAAAGTGCTCTGCAGAAAAACTGTAATGCAAGATCTTATTTTTTCACGCATACACCAACCACTACCTAGTATACGTAGACTTGATTGCTGTGTTTTTGAAGTTTGGGATGGGTTTCATTTGTGATACCTCAAAACAGATTCCAGCAATTCGGAACACCAAAGGAAAGAGATAAAACCGTTCCTGGGGCAACTTGGAAAGGCTGATTTCTATTCGTTAGAGAAATTAAGTTGACGGAGTATCCGTCGTAATCTCTAAGGCAGCGGTTTTTTGTCTTGTCACGCAGTGATCCTACCTCATTTGTCACGTTGCGTGACGAGACAAGAAAAGGTTACTTGGGTTAATTTTTGCTGGGTACGTGCCCCTGGCCTCTCAAAGCCCTCTTCATTATAGTCTGCTCTGTGGCCAATTATAGGCCCCATCTTAGTCACTTTTGGGTAAATGTAATTTTCGCGATCCTAAGTTAGTCACTTTCTATTTATGTATCTTAACCTTATTAATCCTTTAAATAGGTCATCCTAAAATGAACTGAGCCATTTTTTTAAATTGAAGGAAGAACACTTTACTTTTCACCTACAATGCAAACATTTTGGTACCTTTGCTAAGCATAAATATCCATAAATATGAAGAACTTTCCTAACCCAAAAAATCTGAAGATGTGCGACTCCATTCTAGTAACTATACTGAAAATGCAACCCCATTATAGTCAAACCAGTCGTAAAAATGCGACCCCATCCAGCGGCACATCCCCATTAGCCCCTTTTAAGAAAGTGCCCCCCCCCCCGGGATCCGTCGGGGACTTAGATTTACTTTGTGCTTAATAAATGTCGCGCATTCATAAGAATTTACCAACCTCTTTGACACCAGCCGATTCCCTCCGTTTCTTATCCTCCTCAACGCGCCTCTGAAATTCGCGTTCAACTTCATCAGCCGACAGTGCCTCGATGGAATCCAAAAATTCTTTGCTTCCTTTGTTTCTGGATAGTCCCCTCAATCGAGCTTGCTCCAAATTTCGCTGTTTCAACTGTTCTTCTTCCAGTTGTTTTAAATGATCTTCTCTTTCCTTTTGTTCGTCCAACTCCTCCTTTTGCAACTGGTTCATAATTCGCTCCTCTTCAATTCGCTCGCGTTCATCTCGCTCACGTTCTGCGCGTTCACGCTCGATGCGAAGAAGTTCTTGTCGCTCTCTGTCTCGGCGATCCCTTTCTGGACCTTCACGTTCTTGTCTCTCACGCTCCGCACGTGTGCGATCCCATTCTTGCCTTTCACGATCTGTTTTTCCGCGCTCCTCCGGATCTCTTCGCTGTTTTTCTAAATGGAATCGCCATGCCCGCTCTTCCTGTTCGCGACGTACATTTTCTTCCCTTTGTAACCGCTCCTCGGCAATTTTTGCTTCTTCCCGCTGCCAGCGAGCAAATTCCTCTTTCTCGCTTGGTTTCCAGTTATCAGTTGCATCACGTGCTCTTCGATCTGGCTCGTTTTCCCCAGGCCGCAGAGGTTGAGTACCACCAGCACCAGCCTGGGACTGAGTAATCATGATGTATCGGCCTGAGCGTGAGTCACGGCTGTCTATGCGGATAGGACTGGACGGAGGTTCATCCGGGGATTTGTCCTACGGAGAAAAACCAAATTCATTGATTTAAAGGAGCTGTGTCACGAAATTCAGCCGAATTAGGAAATTACAAAATGCCGGTTAAATTAAGAGAAACATAAAAATAACTGCTTAAAACTATTAAGGGAAGGTTAAAATAACATAACAGAAACAACAGATGTCACGGATGGGCAAAACTGAAGAAGATTTTAACGGATTGAAATTAGGGTTTTTGAAAACTGTTCAGCCCAACAGTTTTTCAAAGTTGATCCCTGCTGCTTGCAGCTTCAAATATAATGCTCAGGAGACATATTTGTTTGTCACGGATCTCTGATTTTGTCACTTACATGTAATTTCTTTGCTTACTTTAAGTTCCATAGCGATTGAGGGCGAGTAATTGGCAAAATTAAACAAAATGAACTGGACTGCCGTGACACAGCCCCTTTAATATTAATCGTAGTGCTGATAATAGACCTTCTTCGGGAAAGTTCATTTAATATGACAAGGGGGGGGATGAAGATATTGAGGGGGGGCTCCGAAAATTTTTAGACACCCGAAGGGGGGACTCTGAAAAAATTGTTGCGCAAGGAGGGGGGGCTCCGAAAATTTGTATACTTCAAAACCAACACATGACATCATCATACAGATCGGATAGTTTTCAACTCAACAATTTAATGACCTGTGCAACTCAGCTATATCACGTGGTTTACAGATATAACAAATGTAGTCTCAGTAATTATTACACTCTTGTTCATCCCAGAAACGCTTTAGAAAATTGTATCACAACTCTATCTCAAGTTTGTCATAGTATAAACCATTGAAGACAATAACGGTAAATATATTTAATACAGTCTAGCGATCTTTTTTCAGGGGAGCAAAGGAATTGAACGAGGAGGTGGGAGGGGGGGCTCTGAAATTTTTTCGACTACCAAGGAGGGGGCCCCTAAAAAATTGAACCGCTAGCGAGGGGTGCTGCTAAAATTTCAAGCTTCGAGTTTCAATATCTTCATCCCCCCCCCGCCCCCTTGTCATATTAAATGAACTTTCCCTTAGCTTGTATGTTTTGTTTTCCCTTTGCCGTGCGTGTGATGTTACCCCAGAGAACACTTTCTTTCAAACGTCGCGCTGTCTACATACATATGTGTACATAACTAATCAGTAATGAACGTAATGAACAGACAAAAGGCAAATTTCATTGAGAATATAAATTGGTCTGAATTGGGTAAATGAAACTAATACGCTAAAAAGGTTTAAAGTGAGCTTAACGGCGAAGACGACGGTACCTAGTAGAAAGCAATAGGTTTATATTAGCAAAACAAGAACTTTGCACATGTCCAACAAATTCTTTTCTACATTTCTTTGCCCTCGTTGCACGCACCACGAATTCAAGTGCCTAATAGACCATTTTATAGTTATGGGCTTGGTAACTTAGCCTCTGAGTGAACATGAGACAAGTTGAACTTGTTTGACACAACCTCCTTTCCTTTCTTATTAAAATTAAACTAAAAAATACTCGTTTGCAAAAGAACAACATGATTTGCATAATACGGAGGAAGGGTTGCATCAAAACAAAGTCAACTCCAGCCTCGTTTCCACCTGTAACCCTAAAATGAACTATTTTCACTTTTTCTGGAGGGCGTGAACACAAGACGATTTTCTAATTGTTTATTTTTTCAGTCCTTTAGAATTAAACCGAAGAAAAATCTACCAACATTTGACAAATTAAACGACAAAAAATAAGAGAGTTGAATTTTGAAACAGCGTGAATTCGCGTTTAAAGAAACGTTTTTGCCCCCGTCGTCGGTTTAAATCTCCGACTGTAACGCATCACATCTCTAATATTATTAGCTTTTAAGGTTAATACAAACCTCCCTCGGGGACTCTCTCCTGGGAGATGATGAACTAGGGGACAAGGCAGCGGCAAAATACTTGTCTTTTCTCTGAGCGATAACTTCTGGTTCATCGACTTTCACGGTCAGCGGTGACCTCTGCCGATCTTCAGCCTCGAAGCGGACTTTGTACGAAGGTCGGGTCACAACGGGTTTAACTTGAATGTTTGGTTTTTGTCGTCGTTGCTGTTCTCCTATAATTTTCAGCGCATCCTCGGCTCGTTCGCGTTCCACGTCCTGTCGACGCCTTTCTTCGGTAAACCGACGCTGCTCGTTCAATCTTCGTTCTTCTTCTCGTCGGCGTTCTTCGTCCAGTTTCCGCTGCTCTTCTGCTAGGCGTCGTTCTTCCCGCAGACGTTGCTCCTCGATTCTCCGCTCTTCTTCGCGCCGTCGTTCTTCGTCTATCTTCCTTTGTTCTTCCGCGCGTCTCCTTTCATCTTCGGCACGTCGTCGTTCTTCCTCCACCCGTCGTTGTTCTTCGAGGCGTCTTCGCTGTTCCTCGAGTCTCCTCTTGTCCTCTTCAGCCCGCCTTTGTTCTTCAGCCCGTCTCCGCTCATCTTCAAGCCTCCTCTCCTCCTCTTCTCGATATCGCCTGTCCATCTCCGCTCTAATGCGCTCCTCTTCCAACCTCTCTTCCTCTACTTGCCGTCTCTGCTCCTCAATCCGTCGTCTGTCATCTTCTGGGCCTCTTCTTCTTCTTTCTTCATCTATCTGCCACTGATCCTGGTAACGTCGACCTCTTTCATCCTCATTCCACCTGTTAAACGACTGATCACGGCCATTTTGCAGCCATCTACCAGGGGAACGCTGCATCTCTTGTTCCGAGATAGTGGGCGACAATTGAACAGGATCTTCGTTATCCAATGGTACAAGTTTCTGTTGTGGCTCTGATAATTCGAAACAAAAGATACGCATTAGACATCATATACTAGTGAAGGTGTTATGACTAACCTCTGCAAACCGACTTCTGTATCTTCAGTCTTAACTATTACCCACCTATCCCTCCCCTAAGTCAACATTTTGCACCAAGTGAGAAGTAAGTGTTAATGTTGGCTTATGGGAGGGGTAGGTGGGAAGTTTCCCCATAAACGTATCTTCAGAACAGTTTGCAAAGGGAGTTAATATGGCGGGCTCCCAGATAAACTTAATGCGAGACATAAGGTGAAATAGATGCTAATGTTCGTTCATGCAGTGTTTTGTGGCTTTGGGCGATTGAGATTATTCGGACAATTGCATGTAAAATTAGGCTCTGCTAAAGTGTGTTAACAGAACCTAAGCTGTTAAGATACCTCTGGTAACCATGGGTGATGGCTGACTGAGCAAGGTAGCCAGGCCATGATATATGGCGCCTTGCTTGGCTATCCGCAAAGTTACAGTAGCTCCTGATTTCACCATCAGCTCGGCGGCCCTACAAGAAACACACATGTCAAACGTTAAATTCTCCTTACTACTTAGCTCACATTTCCAATAGAAAAAGTTGTGAGAATTTGTAAAATCTGGACTATCGCCGTTATAAGGGCAGCCTCTTTAATACCCTGACGTTCTTTTGGTATGTCACCCAACGATTCTCCCAAACGATAGAGAAGATTATTGCACCAGGTGGCAAAAGAATGCGTGCATAGGTAGCTTAATTTATGGATGTCTGTTAAACATTTCAGACCACAATACCGAAGAAAAAGGAAATTGACTTAATTTAAGAAGGGGACGTGTTCGCATTGTTTAAACTTGTTTGAAATATTAAGGCTCAAACTAGCATAACCCACCCATTTAGGGAGATAAAAAAATAACGACCCACCTCCTTTCTGGTACAGTGGAACCTCGTTAATGCGACCAACGTTGGGCCATAAAATCCTGGTCGTAATACCAAGGTGGTCGCACTAACGGAATCTTCATAATAATTAAATTACTCAGTGATTTTTACATTTGGGTCGAAAAAAATATGGTCGTAATAACGAGGTGATCTCATAAACAACGTGGTCGTAAGACGGGGTTCCACTGTACTGTCTAAATACCCACAAACCCCAACCCCCACCCTTCAATACTCACTGACCAGTCTGTCAGTTTGTACTTAAAGGTGAAACATCTTTTCCCAAGGACTCTTAGGAGAATGACCTATATAGCTTCTTTCGTGTATCCAAAATTTGCTGATCATAACCCAGAGAATGTACCAAGACGTAAAACTACTTACCTCTCTTGTGGGACGCCTACTAAACTCTCACCATTCACGGCTAAAAGCTGATCACCAGCTTGCAGGCGTCCATCCTAGTACACAAGAAATAACAAGAATTGCATGGACTTTAGAATAAAAACGGTTGTCTTAGTGTCAAACGTTATTGTACAATTCCTGTGGTTTTACAACGCGATGCTATAATTTATCATCATCATAGCACGCTCTCCTCAGAGAGTTGCTTCTCTCAAAGAAGCGCAATACAATTGTCTGTTTTGTGCTATCGTCATCGCCTTTTGCATTCGCCACTTTACAAGCGAAAGGTATCCCGCAGTTGCTTCTGGGGTCGTTACTGGTGACATGCTGGTCAGCTATTGGCCAATTTTTTCCCCTGTCTTCGGTAACAGTCCCAGATGTCTTTGCGAAAGTTAACTCGGCCGTTAAAACCGCCACTCTCTGTTGGTCTCCCTGAGCCTCTCCATCGCTTTAGAGGAAACTTTGAAAGCCCTTTTTACACCTTTCCATGTCTTGTAACATGACCAAAAAATCTAGTGTCTGTCTCCTGACGCTATATAGGTGGCTAAAAAATTCTCATGTCACTTTCTCAGCCAATCAAAAGAAAAGCTAAATAAACAGAGCACCTTGCTCGCCTTTTCTCTCCGTCACACCAGTTGATTGTTTTCGACTTCTGACTGGTTCATAGGATTACCTGCTTCTACTGTGATTGGCCAGAGTAAAGTATCATCTGATTGTTCACGTGCATGGAAGTGGTTATGGAAGTGGTGCAGCTGTGTTCAACACATGCGCAATACGCCTAATGGTAATGTAATCATTTAGTCTCTAACTAACCTTCGCGGCGGGTCCGTCTTTCACAACCTGTTTGATGTAGATTCCAAGCTTGTCCTGATCAACTCCCTGACAAAAATTAACGGCCAAGAGTCAACCCGGAAGTTCATCTACTTTTGAGCGAAAACTTGGTCTAGGATCATGTTTTAAATTCATAATTATAATAACTCATTAAATCAATAAACCAGTTCTTGAAATTTTCCGTGCTACTCGTTTATTCTCATTACACCTATACTTTTTTCCCTGATTTTCTCTTAAGCGGTGTTGGTCTTGGAAATAGAGAAATATTTATCTTACCTTAGCTGCAACAATACTAAGACCCATGCCTCCCTTCCCTTTGTAGAAAGAGACGTCTACGATATCAGGAGTCTGGGGAAGAAGTTAGGACAAACTCAACATTAAAAATTAAGGATTCCAAAAAAAAGCCACGTGCAAATTATATCACTATTCTCAACACACTAGAGATGAAGAAAACATTAATGCAAGTATTTACCTGGGGTAACCTCTGGGCCATGCCGTCAACTGACAAAAAAGAAAAATATTGTCACTCAATGGTAATCGAGTGTGTCACTTCAACATTTACTATATTTGGGGGGGGGGTAGTGCGGAATAATTAATACCGATGAACTGATTACGCAGTTCTAAATTATAAATTAGTCTCTTACAACCTTTGCTGATTATTAGTGAACTTATGCAACAGGACAGGGGAGGAAAAAAGACGGCAAGCCTTGTGTGACAAGCACGACAATAATTATGTTTGAAAAAAAACCTTCCGCAAAACTTCCCCTTTCTTCAAGCAGATATGTTTGTCAAAGACCAAAAAACATTAATGTTAAGTGTACATTACGACAAAACACGCCAGTGATAGCCTGTCACGTTTGTCACACACAAACGTTTTGCCATCCTCTTCTTCCTGCTGTACTGTTGTGTAAAAATTATTATTGTCCTGAACTAGACTGCTAAGCTCAAACATTACAAAAGAGAATATCCTTTTTCCACAAGCACATAACCTCTACAGTAATGCATTCTCTTGTGTTATGTCGTGGTTCAATTTTATCATTGGTTTAAATTTTATTTTCCTTTGTTTTGGGGTATGGTAATGTATGTTAATGAGTCTGAAACAAAGGAAATAAAATATTTAAACCAAGAATAAAATTCAGCCAAAACATGTACACGTAATTGCAAAGTTGCTGCTGATAAGTGCTGAACCTGCTTCTTATTTGATGACAAACTTGTTGCCGTGTAGGTCATGGCACCTAAACAGAAAGTAAAATACTTCAATATGTATATCTCACCAGCATCGTTGTCGCTCATATGATATGCAGTCCATAATCCAGAGGAAGAGGACTGAATAGTCAGTCTGCAAAGACCTGAAATGACAAGACACCTTATTAGTGAACAACAAAACAATCAAAAGGGACAATCTTATCTGCTGAACTGCACATTCAACACTTAAAATAACCTGAGAAAACAGCCGACATTTTGGGACTCTACCATTGGTTTCCCAACGAGATGACGTCTGAGAAAGGAGCAAAGAAATTACATAGTGGTCACCACCCAGATCTGCGAAGTGCTTCTGATTGGTTGAAAATTTGCTACAGCCAGTAAAAATTAATATTTTTTGCATATCAGGTGCCAGTGTTTTGATGAAGTTAATGAAATTTAAGGCAGTTAACAACAGGAAGCACTGTCTCATGTTTTTGTTGGCGCTCAGTGTGGTGGCGCAAGTGCAGTTACCCTTGCTTGCATCAACTCCATGTGCTTAGTACAATGCTTTCTTGGCAGCTAATCACTTCATTTATCTTTTGGATTGTTCTTTCTCCCCCACCCCTCACCACCCCCCCTTTTTATTTTCCCCTGATATATCAGTGTGACAGGTGCCTGGTTCCATTGGTTTGAGGGCTCATGGCTGGAAGGCATGGGTTTACCAGCCATAAAAAGTGGAAGCCCCTGGACACCCACCTCCACTTTGCGATGCCATTGTTAATGAAACAATTATAATCATTTTCAAATATAATAACAACTGACCTATTCCTGCTAGAGGGTTCAAAAACTCCTTCAGACCAGGGGGTACCCCACGGATCACTTCACAAGAGTACCTATCCTCAGGAAGCAAGAATGGGAGCTGAAGTTGAGGGTCCTCTTCAAGTATCACTTCCTGCCCTTGGTTGCGGATGAGCTCATCTGCTGTGTTTTCAGCAATAGCCACAACACTGTCAATCAAATCCCTAAAGAGACATATCACATTAGCACATAGCCTGCGTCAAACTCAAATCCCTAAAGTTCTGGACTTCCAGCTGTGTACCCAAATTTGAGTATATCACATTTAAAAAGCACCTCAGAAGAGGAATCCGCACTTCCAGTAATTCTCATGTTACAGAGGAAATAGATATCATTTCTCCCTTGCACCCACTTGAATAAATTATTTCTCCCTTGCACCCACTTGAATAAATTATGTTAAGAGCAAGGAACAAAATATAAAGAATCTTTCTGTTTATTAATGCCAAGTAATACCAAAAATGAATTCCTAAAAACTTAGTATGCACCTTTAAGACATCCTCGCATCATTTAAAACACAACTTTTTCATGCAATAAACTTTATAATTTTCATGACACTTAATCTCTGTATACTCTTATAATAAAATAGTGGGATAGGACATTCACGGATTTTCTGGCTAAAAAATTAAAAAGACTATGTAAAAACCATAGTGAGAATGATAAGACCCTTTAAGGTTATGTTCTTGAAGCAGTTCATAAACTTGTAATTTGGGTGACCCTTGTTTATTAAACACAACAAATTATTTGCAGTCATAATCTAACTGTGATGAAGTCATGAACTGTTTATTATTCAATAATAAGTTTTACTTTACCTTGGAATGTCTAGCTCATCTGGGGCAGGACGATAATTTTCCAAAAGTGCACGAAGTTGCACTGAGTTGAGTTTGTAACAAGCTGATGATATGGAGTTGAGATCATTCTGAGAGTTCTTGGGAGCCTGGAGCAAATAGGCCGCCTAATATAAAAAATTTATAAGACATTTTAACTTTACTTTTGGGTAGTTTAGCTCTACTAGTACATGTATCTTAATACGGTAATGAAAACAGTCTGGAGATTCAAGGAAGTGCGGACATATCCCTGCTCCATAGTTCTGCTGATAATCTCAGTACACTAAATATTCCAAATCCAGGGGTGGATCTAGGGGGAGGGTGTGGGGGGTACACACCCCCCCCCCTGAGGGGGCTGTTGACAACTGGCACTCTGCAAAATATGCAGATATGTATGGTATGTATTCTCAGCAGTTCACGTCATGTTATTGCCAAGTCAAAAGCCTTCTTCGTATTTACTTTTAAAATTAGTTTACATCACCAGTTGGTTACACCATTTCTTAGTGGTGCATCCCCTCTTAAGAAAAATCCTGGATCTGTCCCCGAAATAAGTTATACAAACTCTGTAAGGTTAAGTCCCTAGGTTTATTCAACAAATTATGCTTCATTCCATTTATAGTTGATTTCTCATCCATAGTTTTTCTCCGCACGCCCACAGAGCAAGGAAAAAGTCCCAACTGGTAGTGATCCAGGACAAGCAGATTTCTTGCTGGGCAAGTAATTTTTCAAGCTCGCTTGCCAAATGGGCAAGGGTCCAGGCAAGTCATCTTCAAACTAAATCATAACTAAGATGAGCGAGAAGTTGCCCCAGGCAAGCACAATGTAAGAGCTGCTTGTCCAAAGGACAAGCTGGAATTCAAGGTTTTTTTTTTCAAACGCTGGCCCAGCTTTATCATCACAGGAATTCCTTTTTGCTTAACTGACCTCTCAGGCTTGGAAATCACTAAAACTCACTGGAGCAATTACTAAATGTCATATGCAGTGCAGCATAGGAATGATAGATTCCAAATCCTCACCTGTACTACTCGACATAAGTGAGAGTCAGCTGCCAGCTCCAGGCCCTGTTTCTGTGCCCAGGACTCCACCCGTCCCAGTCTCCTTCTCAACCTGTGTCCCCAGTCCCTGGTGCAGAGACCCAGCTGTGGTTGCAGTACCAGCTTGTTAAATATCCACATGTTAATGTAATGGAATAGCTGAGAGAACACTTGAATGGTCAGAGCAGCATTCACTCTGCAGCGACGTAACAAGGACATTGCTGAAGAAAGGGTAAACAGGATGTCTGACAATGTTGGCCTGCCATGGCGTCTTCGTCCACCTGAAATATACAGTATTATCTGTGAAGATAAAGTTTCTGACACAAGAATCTTCAAAGATGAAATTTTACCTGGAACAGAATTATTATAAAGATTCCTGCTTCAGTTTATTTTATTTCAAATTCTCCTCAACTAACTTGCAACTACATTAATTTTATGGTCAACATGTCCTGGGCTTGAAACCCTGCACTGACCACTACATGTACCTACCCTGGAGTTATTGCATGGTACATGTATACCAGTAGACTCAACTTCAACTTCCCTGGCCATTCCTATAAACTCTTTAAGCCACACTATCCACAAACAAAGTCTCCAGACTGATCTCCATACTTTTCCATAACAATTAGTTGAGAGAATTTGTGATCATTTGTCAATTGTCATAACCTTTTTAACTTGATTTGGTATGGATACTGGGAGAAAATTTACATTGTTTGGCTAGGTGCAAGGTGTTAATGGTGATCAGAGCTGTAACAAAACGGATCAAATTTTGTCATGTTTCATTTAAATTAATAATTTGTTTTGATTACTACTGCACTCCCCAAATGCTAATAACCACCATAAAACACTGCCACCAGTAAAATACAGGTTATTTGTTTATTCATTCTATTACAGGGATGCTGAGGCGGCATCCACCGGCAAACTCACAGTCTGTATGAACAACAGAGTGGACCGGGTGGCCAGGCAAAAAGCTCAGCTAAGGCCACCTGAATGAATAAGTGAATTACAATATTAGCTTACCAAGCCAGCTATCCCCACCAAGGGGCCTTCCAGATGGTCCATATCTGAAACTCCGTTCACCTGCCATCATGCTATCAGGAGACTCTAAATCCATCATGGACTCCCCATCACTGTCTTCCATATCAGCATCATCTGTGACGTCCAGGAATGCTGACATCAGCGTTCGCAATTCTTGTTCCACACACTGAACAAGGTGCCTGAATGCCTTTTGAACTGACTGAGCTAGTATCTGATGGCTGTCTTTTAGGCATGGTGATACATCAATATCTTGCTTCAAGAAATGTAGAAGTTCTGACGAGTTTGCCAACCAAAATGCCAGGCTTCCAGGAAGCTGACTATTTTCCTGCAGGTAAGATAAAGGAAGCGTAACTCTATTTTACACTGAAATTATGGCGAAAATCCATACATGTAGGTATTACCCATGGCAGGGTCAGCTCAAAATGAATTGAAGCCCGAAAACCAGAAAGTTCATGAAAGAGCCTGTCATGAATGCCATCTCTGTAGCAGTCCTTAAAGTATGAAAGGTAAGATGTTTTGTTTCATTTTGCAGTAGAATTTAAATGAAATATTATCAGACAATTTTTACAATGTAGCTGTCCTACTTGCCTTTCTTTCATGTTCCCATGGAGAGGATCAGTAAAAAAGAATCGGGAAATGATCTCGAAAAATTAATAACTCGAAAAAGTTTACCTCAACTGTGGAGCGCACCATGTTGGCAATCTTCTGAACAGTAAGACCGAGTCGGTCATTGCGCTGGTAACTCGTTAACTCTTCCCGATAGGCAGGTGATGTACGATAACGGCAGCACATATACAGGGTATATGTTGGTGCAAGCTTAAAATGAACTCTGTCGCCATTGACCTCACTAATGACAGCAGCGAAGAAGGCATCTTCTCCTGATTCTCGGAACTCCAACCTAGCTGGAAGCCTGTCACCCATGCCATCATCTGGGGAGTCAGGAGGTGTCTGGCGCTCATATGGCTACAGATCAAGGACAAACTGAGATTAGAAAATACCCTAAGAAATGAAAACCAACATCTAAGGAGCAGATCTACATGTTTGCATTAAATTAATTTAAAGAAGTACAGTGGAACCCCGCTGTATGGACACCTGCTGAATACAAACACCCGTATAATTAAGACACAGTTTCACTTGTCCCTAGCTATAAAAAGCTCACATCTTTTTTTCTAAAATTTGCACTTAATACGGGCACCAGTTGATATAATGAACAACGGACACTCTTCTGTATCCCGAGTCACAAACTAACATACATCATCAACCCTGCTTTAAGGACACTATTCATCTGCGCACTGTCTACAAATGAATATCTTACCTGCAGTGAAAGGCTAAATAAAAACAGCAAATGATGAATTTCAAAGGTTCTGTCTAATATTTAGTCCAACTGATAGAGTCACAAACTTAAGCCATCGGTACAAAGTTAAGTTATGGATTCCTTTGTCTTATTTTTAAGTTAAATGAGCTAAGAACACTGACTTGACAGTTTAGCGCGATACTAGTATTAAAAGATCATAGGGTTTATTTAGGATGGGACTTGCTGCAGTTACATCAAAGAAAATTAAACAAAGTTTTCTTGTGAAATTGTCTACTTTCGTCTTCATGTTGATAAAACACGTGTCTGTGCCATTTTTTCTCAGAGCCCGGTTAATACTGACACTATGGTACTGTATGTCCCCTCTTTGTCCATATAAACCAGGTTCCACTGTAAAACCCAAGTTAAAATTATTACCGTTGCATTCTTCTCAATGACATTGTATGCATCTGTTAGCTCAACAAGCTCAAGTGAAGTATAGTTGATGACCTTCTGCATTTTATTAAGAAATGTTTTTCAATTATACACTCACCGGTTTCTCATTTGTGTAAGTCTCAACTTCCCCATCAACACCAAATGTCGTCTCAAACATGCCTGATTCACTGTTGTTTCTGACCATCTTATTCTGTTCATATCCTCTATTTAATCCTCCTGGTCCAGACCTGAGTAACAACAATGAACATTATAATAATGCTCACAGCAATGAAACCAAACAACATATATATTGTCACCTGTGTCCAACATTAAAGCTTATAAAATAAATCAGTTACCACGCACAATCTGTATTTTAAAATCAAACCATTTTCAATTTTGGAGAAATTTATGCAAAATTCCAAACTTTAGTACATGCAGAAAAGCAAGTTGGGATTTTATCTGGGACATTTGGCAAAATGAGTAGAAGACTGGTAGATTGTGCTGTATCTGGGAGAGTTGGCATATATGTAGTTATAAAACCTGAGTTTTGTCTTCATCATGTTTTAGTTAGCATTTTTGGCCTTGAACTCTTTATGAGAAACAGATCAGCCATTATGAATGCTTTAGCAGGGCTCAAAGTTTAAATTTGAGTTTGGGAGCACAGATGTAAATTTTATGAAAATTTTTGGAGCACAGCTTTGGGAGTCTATTTCAAAAAAAAAAAGTTAACCTTAACAAATTGTCACCTTCAGTTTGTTACTTATACTTCAGTCCTGTGATTGATAAAACACAGCCGATTTGCCACAGTAATACTATTTTTTTAATACTAATTTCTCCCCCAGTTGTGACTAAAGAAAACCCTTGAAAAACAATTCCCATGACAACGATCCATCCTGGAATACGACTTAAAAAACTTTCTTACCTGGAAAAAAAGGCTCTTAATCCGCACTGTTTTTGTTTTGATTGACGTTCTGAAACAACTATTGCGCACGTGTATATTTGCATGTGTCTGATTACAAAACAGAAGAGTTATGGTTTATTCAGGCCATGGGAAAAAGACCAATTCACATTGTTTTTGGTCTTTGGTGCTTTGGGTTTCTGACATGACCTCCAACTTCATGTGCAACCAGTTAGTCGCTTTTGAGCCCTTTTAGTCTAAGGCAAATGTTAACTTCATGCTCTAGTTCTCTCCATCCTTACTCTTCACAAACAACTAACGGAGATCATTATGGTTTATTCAGGCTATTTTTGTTTTTGGTCTTATTGTTAACTTCAAAAACTTTATGCAGTTCTAACACCCGGAAAAAGCAGTATAACGCCCGGGAACCAAAAATGTATTTTCAAGAAACCTTGCTACCATTGATGCATTTCGCTGAATTAAATAAGTCCCTCCTATCTATTAAGCCCCCCCTCAAAAGTGCTTAAAAAAATAAGCCCCGCAGGGAGCAGAGGATTTATGCTAACTGAATACTGTACCTGGGATCTCTTCTTCTCTGTAAATCAGAGTCACTATGTCCACTGCTGAGACTTCCACCATCAGAAGCTGGTGATCTAGGTTTAGGAGTCTCCTCAAAGGCTGGGTCTCCAAACTTAAAAGTGTGAAGCCGGCCAAACTTAACCATGCTACCATGATCAAGCTTTGTCGACTCATAAATTCTCTTACCATCCACATAAACTTCTGCGTCACCTGAAGCTGGTGTAACAGAAACAATGCCGTCCATGTTGGTTATCACGCAATGGCGCGGAAGCACTTCAGGTGCATAAATCTCTAGACAACTACCTCCTGACAACATGGATTTCTCACTGCCAACCTCTGTAACCTCCATTGGCAGTCGGTGTATATTGGGTCTGTTCACCTCACGACCATCAGAAGTCACCTCTCTCAAATAAGGCAGTAGATGCTCCGGGTATCCCGAGTTTGCAAGTCTTTCACCGATTGTTTTTTCTGGTGACGTGGTATCCAAGGGTACCCTAGATGGAGATTTTGACCTTCTCTTTTGTTTTCTATATTGGGGCAAGTTTGCCCTGCGACGCAAATGGAAAACAACATGACCCTGGTTCTTGGGCCATGTAGCAGCAATAGCAAGTGGCTGATCTTCGTCATGAACAAGCCTTTCTTTGCCTAGTGTGTTAGTGCCATTAGGACCCCCAGGTGGGATATTTACCATAACCAGGCAATATTCTTCAGGATTTTCTTTCTCCAATTGGTATTTCTCCAAAGCCTCTTTCACAACGTGAGTAGTGGGATCACGCATTGAAACAAGAAGAGTTTTGTATGGAATCTCGGGTTTAAGAGTTTCGGCAAAAATTTTAAGTGTTCCACCACTATCAGCACCTCCTTCACTGTTCTGGAATTCTTGAAGCCTACGTTGCAGTTTTCTTTCACGGCGCATTTTCATGACAATTTCTGGGTTAGAAATACTCCGAGTGAAGCCACTTTCAGGAAGTTCATTGTAAAGTGTTTGAGCAATTGCAGAGTCGTCAGATGATTTAGTTGGGGACGAAGGACCCAGTAATTTAGCTTTTTTGGCTTCCTCCACTCTCTTTTTCTTCATTTCTTTTTTCTCTCTCTTTGACAATTTCCTTTTAAAGCTTTGACCAGGATCATTTTCATCATTCTTAAAAACATTTGTAGCAACCAGGGCTTCTGAATCACTTTTCAACAAAAATCGACCCTCTCTGTCATCCTCCTGCCATAACAGCTGAACGGCCAAAGGCCTGTCATCATCATGAAGTTTTCTGGAATCTGCAAATAAATTTGGAATATTATTAGCTCTTTTGACAGAAATAGTCTATAAACACAGAGGTTTCATGGCCTGAGCAAACCATAGGGCTAAAGATCAAGCTGAACAAAAAAAGTAATTAACTCTACTCATCATAAGACAATCTTGTTGTAACTTGCAATAAAATTCATCATGAAAGGAAGGTGGACAGTTTATTATTAAACCAACAAATCCAAAAACAGTGTTTAACATAATGACAAGTGGCACCCAAATATTGTAAGTAATCAATTTAAGACCACAGATGAGAATTTCAATTAAATTGTTACATACAGGTGTAGGGCTCCAAATTAAGAACATTTGTCAAATTAGCAAAAAATTGACCCTTGAAGTAAAATTCTTATGTTTGTGGCTAAAAAGGTTAAGCCTCAATATCAAATTTTAAAATTTATGGCAGTTCAGAAAGTGATACAGTATAATATGGATAATCCAATAAGACGACTACAAAACAAGTGTGTTTTGTGCCATCAGACAAACTGTCTGCATTATCGAGTGTACATGATTGTCACCAGCAAACTTGTAAGTCCCACTTGTTTACTGTACATATTTTTTTGCCATGGTCATTTAGATCAACAAGGAAACTACTGGCATATGTTTTTGAGTGTCCTGAAAATTCTTTGATCCCTCCGAAGTTAAGTAAAAGAAGGAGTACGCCAAATAACAAAAACTAAATATTTATTATCACTATTTTTGTTTCAAATTCTAAGATAGCCACTATCGATGATACTGGGCGAATACCGGATCGCGTTGAACAAAAAATATCGCCACTGACTTCTTACAAATAACACGTACAACACTGTAAGTATAGAAAAGCTATCTCTCAAACTAATAGCATCTAAAATAACCGCCAAAAATCTCAGTGATTAATTCTGGAATAGCGTGAAAAGTTTTCGAACACATGATCGACTTCGTGAAGAATGCCAGAAATTTCTCAACGGAAATATGAGACGAGAAATAAAGTGACTGAGAATTTTAACACTGTAGTTGATCAGAGATCTTTAACGAGTTGAATTTAAAACGACGAAAAATGTGCACTTATGAATGTGGAGTGGCGATAATTATTTTTTAGCCAATTGCCGCATAAACAGGACACTGACGAAACAGACGAAATCTACAACTTAACCTTCCTCGTATCACGAGAACGGGTCCGTATTAAAATTACACACAGCGTTTAACTGGGCGTTAATTGTTCAATGCCACCAAGCTGTGTTCGAAGTTTTCTTCGCCAATTGCAGAAACACACAAGAGGACTGGCTTACAAGATGGTGCAACAAGGTTCCAGCAAATTTGAAATAGTGCGAATGATTTTACATATCCGAAAAGTAAGACCATTTGTAGCAAGGTCGCGAAACCAATTGTTCAAAAAACGAAAAGCGCTCTTGTAAAACAAAAATTGAATAAATTATTAGCATTTTATTTATCTCAAAAGTCTATCAAAGCTGTAATAAATCGAGCAACGTCACTAAGGATATCTAAACCAGTGCAAAGGAGCTCATTTGGAAGGCTTCTCGATGTCCAAGCTTACCTCCATTCGGGTGAACTTCATACAGTGAATAGTTTGGATTTGTGAGCATTTTCATATCCGGGCGAAATTTCTCCACTAGCGTTCGTGTTACATCATCCGCTGTTTCCAAGCTAGTTACGCGGATACACTTGGTAGCCATCTTTGCTCCAGCATCTTGGAAGAAAAACCGCATCACGCCGCGGTACTCTAACTCCTGTGAAATAAACACCTCAAATTTAACAGTTTAAAGACAAACATCAAACCCTAGAATAACATCTTTAAGAGAGAAAGGAAATTATACAAAATTCACTAAACTGCACTGTTTTCAAGCCAGTGAGCATCATAACAACAAACTTACTTCATTGGGCTCGCTAATCTCGAAGATATCCAAACGGCTAGCGTTCCATTCAGTAATCAGTCTTCGCAAATACTCGCGTTCTTCTTGCTTCGTTCGTATGCCCTCCATGTTTGTTAGCAGTTTTTCGCCACCCTATACCATCGGAGAACTCTTCGACTCTTAAACGGGATAACTCAATTCGATTCGAATGACAAATAACCTTTTTCAACCTGGCGAGACAATTTGACTTAAAGAACAAGTCTATCACAGGACGTATATCCACAGCCACCGTAAACGATTGCAAGAATGCATAATTACGGATCAAAAAATCCGCGCATGTGATTGGTCGATACACAAAAGGAATGTCTCGTCACTCATGCTGTGCTATCTTGCGGGGGTGGGTGGGGCTGTCAGCTGTTATTTTCAGCGACATTCATCGGCATTGAAATTTGTGGAGCAGCGGCAATTTACTAAAGCAAATATTTAAAACGCGCGCCCTCCAGCCCGATCCCGAACGACAAATATTTTCAAGAAACCTCTAAACTCACACCATTTTAGCTGAACTTCTACTTTCTCTACATCGATTGCTAATTATTTGGATTTAAATACACAAATCAAAACTCTACAATTAAAAGTTAACGATGCAGTAAATTTATGCCACTTTCACTAAAAGGACTCTTGTTATGCTGTGACATGATTTTTGTTTTATTGTACTCCGCCCTTTGTGTGCACGCCATTATTTCTTATAAGACTTCCCAAAGTTTGGGTGTGAATCGATGATCTCCTTTAAGAGGCTTTCGGGACTTTACATAAAGTCTATTTGCCGATCACAAATAAGTCAGTCCATAGTTCTGTCTAATTTTCTGACGGATTTAAAATCAGTTGTCTGGTTGATAATCACGATTTGCCTATCTCTTTTTCCTTCCGACTGTCCAATTTTGATCGGTGGGCTCAGTGGCCTAGATGGACGAAAACTATAATCGAAATCTTGATCATGGAAGGGATATGACCAGATATAGCCTTCTGAGGTCGTTGATTAATGATCATTTATAATTCAATTTTTTAAGAAAAAAATTTTTTTTTTCTCGTACTGATATTCCGTTAGCATGACCTTAAAAGTACTTTGTGGATTAAGAATACACAATGACGTAATATTATAATTCCCTGAATGGTCGAATGGCCAGTGAATATTACTGGTGAATATTTTACTTTGATCATTTTATAGTCTAACGGATGATAGGTTGGTGTAATAATTTTAACTTCAACAAAAGAAGAAGCAAATATAGCCAGACATTAGTGACCCCCGCCGTAGACACAAACGTTTAGCAAGACGTCTAACAGAAAATACCAAAGAAAAACTGCCTGTTCAAAGCACTAGCTAAAATTCCATATCATATCTATTCTTTGATTTAGAGCATGAAATTATTAACGGTTTCTCTTGGTCTACTTAGCTTTTACAACGATGATGTCATTTGAATGCCTTTTCTTTAAAATTCCAGAACTTCCTGAAGTACAGTTTAATGAATGAATAAACGCCAGAAGGCTTTTTTTATTTTGAAATCATTTCAGTACTACCTTTACGTCCAGCTTACAATAAGAATAACTGACAGCGACAGAGACGGTACTAAATGTTATGTTTCTATTAACTTTTAGCTTGTTAGTCATAACATTTAAAAACCCGAGGAAGTAGGGCGGAAACGATTTTCATTTTAAATAAATGTTTTGCATGCCGCACTAAAATTCCTTGAATTTTAATTTTAAAGTGACGTCACGCTAATTTGTAGAGAAACTGAAAATCAAATTTTGCATAATAACCTAAAAGTGCCTACATAATTTTAAAGATTTATATCACATGTAGACAAACCGAAACATTTTTCTTTTTCTTATCACCAAGCACTGGAAACATTCTCGGCTAGGAAACTGATTGGGCACGGTCACAAGGTCACGGGTTGATCCGGTACAAAATCACGTTCGAAACAGTATAAACACCGATTAGATGAAATATCAACAAACTCTAAGTAAACGAAATAAATTTTTAAAACGTTTTACTATGCATCATGATAAGATAGAAAACGTTCAATAAAAATATTTTCTTGTATATGATTTTCTTTTTTTGTTTTGTTTTTTTTTTAACTAGTAGAACAAGTTCATGATAATAAAAATCCATTTTATTGCCTCAAAAGGTTGAAATCATATCTCCACTACTACCAATTACAATAACGAAAAACTCAAGCTCCCAGTTGGCTTGCTAAGCACTGGCATCGCAGAGGTCAGGGTCCTGAATTTTTTAAGGCTTTTGTTTTACAACTGCACAAGTTGAGTCTTTAACTGCGATGATCTTCTTTACATTTTTTATTTATTCCGCGGATAAAATATGACAACAAAGTAATTGACCATGACATTGTAAATTTGACGTAAGCATACCTAGAGGTAACGTCATTTTTTAACAGTTATTTGGAACATTTCTACATGAATTAATGATTACGGATCGTCTAGTGCTTAAAGCCAGACTGAGTTTTAGAGTCTACAGCACTCAGAAAGATTTTTATAATTCTTTTCAGCCCTCGTCATGACTCAAACTTCCGGTGTAACTTATGCTAAGAATGAATTCGAGTGAATGCTTGGAACGCTAGGAAACGTTTTGTTGTTACTTCCTTGCGAATGTTTTGATAGAAATGCCAACGTAGAGGACGTATCTACCTATAAGCACGTACGCTTACGTGCCTGAGAAAAAAAAAAAAAGAAAAAAGAAGGTATACCCCTGGTATACACGTTTCCTAGAAAGATATAAATGCATGCAATGACTCAAACAGATAAAAACTAGGGCGCAAGATCATTTTCAAGTTTTTCACAAAGTAAAGAACACTAACACTTTTCATTATGATGTCTATAATGAAAACGGCAAATGGGAAATGGGACAGACAAACGGCATCAAGATAAATCAGGACGGAAAAATGGTCACGTGATCATATTTGAGCGTGATTTTGATACGAATACAACTTTAAGACGAAAATTGTTGAAAAATTAAGAAATCAATCTCTCTCCCTTGAGAACGGCTTTGCCTTTCTCGATATGTCTTCAATCTTGGAAGAGCTTTGGAGCACTTTAAGCATGGCCTGGAGGTCAGAAGGTTAACAAAGCAAAAACAAAAAGATACAAATAAAAGGAAATATTAAACAAACGGGAAATTAAAGGTTGAAGGATTAAAAAGCTGTACAGTCGCCCCAAGTCACGTCATTGCGCGATGAAAGTTTTGGCGGCGGAGCCACTGGATCTAACAAAGTGACTGAGGGTTGAAAAGGTTATGAGGACTATTAAAATTACTACCGAAGAGTAAATGCTTCGATCTTTTATCAAATTCTCTCACCAAATCTCATGAGGAAAGTGTGGAGAATTTGCATGTGGATAATAGCAGCTTAAAGGCTGAGTGCATCCTGTCAGTGACTACAGCCACCTCTCATGGACCTTCCTTGCGGTGGTGAGTGATGAAATGCGGCTGAACTGTTAGGCTATCATTGAGATCATTGGCAGGACACAAACGTGTGGGCATCCCACTGCCTAGACTAGTCTTTTCCCGATTGTGCTCGGCAACTTTTGAGCAACTTTTTGGCGCTTGGAGCATATTTTTGCGGTTCTAGCAACCTCGAGCAAATTTTGCCCTTCTGAGCAATTTTTGAACAAAATAGGTTTAGAGCACATATCAAGCACGAATAAGTCAACGATTTCATAGAAAACTTGAATTTTTTTAAAGTTTAAATTTTTTTTCACCGATGTTAGTAATTATTGTGAAGAACGAAAAAAAAGCTTTTAATTGACATTTATATAAAATACCAAGAAATTTAGGTGGCAACTTTTCGGATTTTTGGCAATTTTTTAGCAACTTTTTGGCATTCCAGTGAGCAACTTTTCAGCCTAGACCCTAGAGGGTACTATAAAAAGGTTTTATACGGGGAACCTTTGCTTATACTTTGCACCTTTTTCAACTGCTGTAAATGCACTGTCTTAAACATATGAATAAATTACAAAATCAGGAAAGTTTCTCGATTTTTTCACAGCCATAAAGCCTTTATACAGCTAAGACCAAAATGAAAGATTTTCCTACCCCTTTATTTACTTTAGCGAGTGAAATCCCTATCCTTTCATATCCTTGAACCCTGAGAAAGGTACCCCTTCCGGCCGGGCGAGGCCTCCCCACATAGGCCATCAAAGGGAGTACCCCGCGCGAGATTAGACTTTCTCAGAGCCCTTTTCCGTTTTCTCCTGGCTAGCTGGTCAGGTGGAAAACGGACGTTTCTTGCCTGCAGCGAACATTTTGGACCCACCAGTTTTCTGGTCCGCGGTGTGGCGCGGGTGTCAGTCTACTCAGTGATCAACAAAAGACTTCTGACATATCATCAGGTCAGCTATCAAACCTTGGTTGAGGTTATACATTCACAAGCCATCGTGTTAGACAATATAATTTGTTTTACAGTGTCTCTCCATGCAAGATGGACTGAAGGGAAGAAAGAGGTTAGACTACGAGTAGTCCCCTTTTTTCCTCGGGGATAGTAGACCGAGCGAAACGCGAGCGCGCGTGAAAATCACCTTACGCAAGAAAGGCAAGAAGGGCGGGGAGAGAGAGAACCTTTCTCGCGTGGGGTGATTTTTATGCGCGCTCTACTATCCCTGGGGAATGGGGACTACTCGTAGTCTAAGAAGAGGTCGGGTGAGGGAATTAACGCATTTCCTTAGCGCTGCGTAATAACAAATCTTATTGTTTTTCAACATTTCAACATGGCATTATTAGTATTTTTTTCTCTAAACTTCGATCTAATACACTACTAGAACAGAAAGGATGACTAAATCCAGCATAACAACAAAAATAAAATCACAGAAGTTTAATTCCAAGGGAACACCAGATTACAAATTTAGACATTAGTCCAGACATTTCACACCCCTGAAGTTAAAGGCCAGCTAACTGAGAGGGGATATTCACAGACAAAAATCATATTGAGCAAAATTTCCAAGAGGAATTGAGCACCAAACAAGTTCCAGAAGCGTTTGAATAGCCCATGTTCAATATATCAAACTTCTAACATGACTCAGGTCAAAATTGCAAATCTTTCACGACTCCACTGTCTCACAATTCCCAGAATAGACTTGAGTACAAAGAAAACCAACCCAAATATAGAAAAATGACCAGAAAGAATCGGAGTCATGTTAGACTTTTAATATATCAAATGTGGGCTATTAACTGGTTGTAATTGGCCAGAAATGCTTCTCGACCTGGTTCAATATCCCATTTCTGATGCAAACCTTCAACCCTACATGTAAGATTCTATAACAGCTAATTTCTCCTTAAATGCTCAGTCAGGCATACAAGTCACAGGAAGAAAGAAAGTGGTAAGCAAGTGTAAAGTCTTGATTTTTGAACAAATTCTCCTCAGACGTAGATACAAGAACTGTATGGAGACCAGTGTCGAGAATATGCAAGCTCATATGAGGGTTCAAAGGGTCAAACTTTGAAATAGTTTCATCTGAAAAAGCCCCATCTGAGACAGCTGTCCTTGAGTCTTCAAGGATGGAAATTTCGTAAAATGTTGATATTAAGTATAAAAGGACATGCATCGCTTAATTAAATGTAATTATGCTTGGACACACAGTACTGTATTCTACTTTGCAGGCGGGAGTAACGCAATGCCAATGTCTTGAAAGAAATTTGAGGAAAAGCAAATCCTAATTGACCTTCTTGTTCACATAAACGTTAAAAGGGTCCATGAAATAGAAGAAAATGGAACTGTAGTAAAACTGGTATACACTGTAGGAGACAATGCTGAACCAAAAAGAAATCATTGCTTTGCACCAAGTATAAACAAATAGGGCTGTGTAAAATAGATTGAATTGGAACAGGAAATCAAGGCCTGCTGGGTGCTCGACACAAAAGTGTATATCAAAGGCTAAATAGTTTGTAACTTACTGCTAAAAATGGGTTTAGGTGCTAAAAAACATTTCTCTACTTTGTAGACTACATTGAACACATGCATGTGTAACGATTGATGCATTTACTGTACGAGTTTACATGAACACTACTGAAAACTCACTTGTTTAAGTGAAAACTTGAAAGTCACTATTGCAACCTCTAACAGGTATCTGTGTGGCTTTATATAATCTGTTGCATAAGCCGCCTTATTTCAAGAATGCTCAACAGCAGGAACAGGCTTAGCTTTAATAATATGAGTTACAGTGTAAAACACTGTGATTTCAATGTTACTCAGTCCTCCTCAACTTCATCCTCCACTTCAAGTTCTTGATCACCGTCGCCATTTTCTTCCTCTCCATCTCCGTTAACTGCTTCTGGACTACCTTCCTTTTCCTCGCCATCACCATCAGCCTCGGCATCTGCATCCCCTTCTGCCTCCTCCTCTGGGTCCTCCTTCTCTGGACTCTTCTCTTCTTTGTCTTCTTCCTCCACAGACTTGGACCTTGATCGCTCTTTCTCTTTGGACTGTGAGCGGGACTTTGACTTGCGTGATTTGGAGCGTGACCTTGAACGAGATGAAGAATGATGGCGTTTCTTTGGTGATTTGGAACGGGACTTTGAATGGCTGCGAGAACGAGAGTGGCTTCTATTGTGAGAACAGGATAAACATTTCATGCATGAAAATGAACGTAGACTTATTCATGTGTGGCACATGACAACATTTTTTCATGCGTTTTACCAGGGGAAATATATGGAGTCTGTCACTAAGATTTCAATTTGCCAGAGGAAATATGTAAAGGACAGGTATAAAATAGGACTGTCACTAAGATTTCAAGTTGCCAGGTAAATGGCAAAAACAGATCTCACGACTAAAATCTCACACTGGTAAGCCTTTTACAACAAGGGGGGGTGTAAAACAAACTGAAATATGTCAAGAAATGCTTAAACAATCCACCATGATTGTTTAAACATGCGTCAAAAACATGTGCCTGGTTACTAAGCACAGACAAATGCAACCCCATCTGATGAGGTTTGTTTCGACTGAAAGACGATTTATGTGATAATATGCTTAGAGAACATAATATTTCTGCCATTTTCTTTTCTGACTAAAACAATCACGTTTCTGTCACTTAAACATTCTTACCTCTTTTTGCGCTTTGGAGATCGAGATCTACTGCGGCTACGTGATCGACGCGAGTATGATTTCACCTTTTCCTATTTGGAAGATAAAAGGTAAAAAAATTTAACACTCATTTCCATGGTCCTAGTGAACAAGTGAGAAATTAACAAAAAAGACTGAATGTAGTCTCTTGCTCCTATATTCCTTTGTTTTTAAGCAAGGATGACGTTGCTGAATGGGATTTAATGACCTGACCTAACAGCTTTTAAAAACCTTTTGAAGCATAAAGAACCTTTGTTAACTGTAAAGCAGGTAAGAGAAAAGGAAATGGGAAATAGGCCTTACAACTTTGAGACGGATGCGCCTGCCATTTAATTCTGAATCATCAAGTTTCTTTAAAGCATTCTTCATGTCCTCTTTGGTGGCAAACTCTACAACTCTGCAGAGAAAGAAAAAAATGAACAGCTGAAAACTGCAGCAACAAACTGTACATAAAAAAAACACATGATGTCATACTTAAACTTTTCATCACTACACTTCCACCCAGCAAGTGCTTTCACATGGTATTATTCATTTAGCATGTTGTTCTATCTTTTGCATCTGTCAATGAAATCCTATGGTGTTACAGCTGTACCATTCAAATCAAACCTCTTTGGTAAAACTTTTCAATAGCATAATTAGATCTTCTGGTTTTACGAATAGAAATTTGGACTGACAGGGCTAAAACACACCTCTGATTAATACTCACCCTTCTCCCTGTCTTCTCTTATGGGCATCAGCAAATGTAACTTCTCCTGCTTTAGAAATGTACTCCTTCAAATCCTGAAACAATACTTCAAGTTCACTTTTATGATTCACAATACAATAACAGAGAAACATAACTAAAGACATTGAGAAAAATGTATCCTAGAGACAAGGTTCCAACAAAATAGAACGCTGGATCTGTGAGGAATACAACAAGATACAAGGCTGTTTGATTATCAACATGACATGTACAAATGTAAGCAAATTCTTGAAAGCTTTGAACTTTTGTAAAAACAAGCAATTGGAACACTCTTTCGCACTGAGAAGTTTTGACAATATAGTCGAATACCAACCACTGTTAGCCTAAAATTACACACGTGTATGTTCCCTTGGGCTTCCAGCAACCATGTTACTTACCGTCCAGTAGTCTTTTGCCTCAATTTTAGAGAATCAAATGTTACAAATTGGAAACTGAATGTGGCTGATGAGCACCGGTGGCCAACTGTAAGTTTTAGCTCATGGCACTGAAGACAGAGCCCTCACTGGTTGGATGGAGGAAAATAGCACTAACTTAAGCCCTGAAACACTGTCTGTTTGTTGAGGCAAGGGTACGGTACGGTACTCGGAATGGAAAATTAACATGGCATCGCCACAGTGCTCAAACATCTCGGCACTTGCTGCTACGGTTGGTTGGGTAGCAGAGGCTCAAATGGAGTCCGTCTGTCTGTCTGTATGAAACTGACTGAATGACCGACTAGGAGTAGGGCAGGCAGACTGGCTAGGACATGGCATAGCTAGCTTTGGATATCTACAGATCAATCAAGAGGTGGTGATCAAAAGTCAATTTTTTTGAAACCATGATAGTTACCAATCGAATTTCAATATATTTTATTACCTACAACTTTGAACATTTGGTTGTATCCTACAACAAAAATCAACGTAATTAAATGAAACTAGCCTATCAAGATGCATTGAAAAATACAATATCAACTGAAACGTTATGAGTGTAGAACAAAAAAGGGAATTCTAATGAAGGAGATCAGATTTCTGATCAGCGTTGACTGAGAACACTGAATCATTTACTAATAAACAGTCATCTTCCATCCTGTCCTTAGACAAAACGCATAAATATAGACAATGTAATAAACTACATTTACGACACAGAAACAAACAAAAAATAAGCTTATGCAATTACACACCTGCCAGTTGATACGTGAAGAAAGATTTTCCACCGCAAGCCTGTGTTCTGTCCTAACTGGTGGTGAGCGCCCTCTTCTGGGAGGTCTGCTACTGCTTAGAACAAAATTGATAATCATAAGTAAGATCAACTACAATATTGATAGTAAAAAAGGCCCTGTTTAGCCATCATTTCCTTCATTCTGATGACTTTTGTGATTGTTTTGGAACTTCACTTGAAGCTGGTTTGGACATCCAAACATCTTTCATGTTACAAAACATTAGCACATGCTTCCACATACTCAATGAAATAAATCTACTGCTGAAGCCATTTTGCAGTAAATATACTGTAACTCAATAGTCCCTGGAAGCGTCTCACATACTCAATGAAATAAATCTACTGCTGAAGCCATTTTGCAGTAAATATACTGTAACTCAATAGTCCCTGGAAGCGTCTCCCTTCTAACATAGTACTTTGAGACAGACTGTATACAACAGATTGGGATTATTGGCACTGAAAACTTGTCATGCTGGTGGGCATTACATTTAACATAACAGAGTAAAATCACATGCTAACTTTTTTGTGGCTTGGTGAATATATTGTTGAGATTAGCCTCTGCTTTCAAGCAGCCAAGTTAATTTTGTGCCCTCTATGTCTGTATAAAGCACTCTTTTATTGCCAGATTTATTTACCTTGGTGCACTACTTCTGTAACCATAGTCTGAAGTTCTGGATGGATTTCTTGCATGTTCAACCACAACTCTGTTTTTGTAAATAAGACAAAGCTACTTCCTTAGTGATCAGCCCAGTCAAAATGATTTGCACTTGTAGGCAGTACAACTCCTTAGTGCCAGGTAGAAAGGGCTTGAGTTTGTGCATTTATTTTCTTCTTATCTTATTATTCAATGAAAACAATATTTAAAAGGGCTATGTCACACTACTTGCTATCTTTTTAAAAAGCTAAAACATTTTTTTTTGCCTTTATTGAATTCCAAAAGCAATGGTCCAGGTTTGTTATTTAGGCATTGATACTCCTCCTGTCATCTGTTTATACAAGGGATGGCAAGGATAGACTTGGACTGAAACTTCTAAAAAAATACTTGGGCCAACTTTTTCAACTTTTAATGCTATGTCCAGGGTTCTCAATAGATTTTTAAGTAGGAGGTGATCACTGATAAAGTAGGAGGCTCTTCAGCAAAGCCAGAGGTGTCAAAACAAAGCAAAGAAAAGCGACTTAAACACAAAGTAAGCGGCTATAAATCCCAAAGTAAGCGGCGATCAATCGCCGGGTGCCGCCTTCTATTGAGAACCCTGTATGTCTACAAAAACCACCAAACAAATATTGTAATTTGTGCTCTCTGATGAGACTTGTTTGATATCTTCTTTATATCTCTAACAGAGCACTTTGTTTATAGTTTAAGGCACTAAGTAATGACTTTCAGCGCCGAATAAACAGGGGCACCCAACGACAATTTTCGGAAAAATATCTGTTCAGAAGACGATTTGAGATCTAGAATTTTCGGAACATTTGTTGTAAAATTTCTTGCTTGCCTGCCTCTCCTAGGATTTTCGAACATCTAAAAAATGGTATGATTGCCTATTTTTAATGGATTTTTAACCTAAAAAGGTCAGCTAGAATTTTCGGGAGCCTTTTTTCTGGCTGAAATTTTCGAAAAGTTAAGTTTTGATCCCTGTAATTTTCGGATCACTAGACTTTCAGCTAAGAAATCCGAAAAGATGAAAAATTTTTAGGGGATAAAAATATGCCTATATCTACCGTTTAAATACTAAAATACGTTCATCAATTCTATGTTTAAGTGGTTTTGAACTATATTCTCGTTGGGTGCCCCTGAATAAACAGCATTATCTTTATTATAGAGCCCCTTTTTTACGACTAGTTTTTTTCCTAGTGACAGAGTCTGAGTCAAAGTTAAGGGTAGAGCATTTCAGTCAAGAGAGTTGAGTAAAAAAAAATTACTCTGAGTTAAATGCAGTGTATTATGATCTGGTGAAAACGGCCTTCTAATTATTATTCCACTTACTACCCTGTGGCTTATAATTATTTTGTTCAAACACTAATTCTCAACTCTGTTCCAACAGGTTAAATTGAAGTATAGTTAGGTACTAAACACTCTAGACCTCAGGTGTAACCTAACCCTTATCACTAAACTCGGAGTCATTCAGCGTTCCGCATTCGGCGTTCTGCGAAATACCCCTCCTTTGTATTTGGACGTAAAGAGTACAATATATGATATTTTATGTAGGCTTACTACTGCTTTCATATTGATCCAAGAAGCATTAGTTTGTTTAACCACGATGTTAAACATCGGCTTATCTTACTTTCAAGTGCAGGTATTCACGGAACCAATTTCAATGAACTTCTTTTTAGTCATTAATGACAGAACTCGTGATAAAATTACCTTTCTCCTAAAAGTTCTCTTCCATTTAAATCATATACACAATCATCTGCGTCTCTTGGATCATCAAATTCCTAGCCAAAGGGAAACGAAAATACAGTTCAAAGCTACGGCAGTAAAATTATAAATGCTCGATAGCTTGTATTTCCACACTTACCACGAAACCGTATCCAGCTTTGATGCTAACTTCACGCACTCTGCCAAATCCTCGCACAAACCGCTCTAAATCTCTTTCTCTTGTATCTCTGGGAATCTTTCCAAAGTAGACTCGTGTGCCACCACGAGACATATTCGGCGATTTAAATTTCGTGAACGGAAAAAAGTGAAGACACGAGGAAAACAAAATGGCGGCTCCCAAGCGCAGCTTTTGAGAACGCCGATATCCCGGATGAACACGCTGGGTATTGTTGTAAGCGAGCCCAGCAACGCTCAGCAAAAAGGGGCCTCTGTAGGTGCCTCGGCTTAGCGCAAAAGGACCCTGTGAGCCAGCGGGAAGACACTGTCAAACATTTCTACTCAGCGGTTTGCGGGGCGACAAAGGAAGCTGAATTCACTTCATTATAAACCAGAATAAATATCCCTTTCTCTACTGGTGCCTGGCCCTGTGACTCACCAAGTGCCGCTGGAGAAGTACAAAATTAAGAGCAATTCTTCGTTAAATCCCCTGAAGAACGGACGGCTTGTCTGTCCAAAATATCGAGAAACCTCAAGTCCCTTTTGTTTTTACTGTTTTGTTATTACTTTTTATAATTTTGGAATTTAAAAGTCCTGCCTTCTTTTCTTTTTTTATCCTCAGTTACAGCGTCAAAGCGGATAACTTCCAGCAACATCTACAGGAAAGCTCAACATCAAGTGCATAAAAATTCTTTTTGGCCAAATTTAATCGAATCACTGGTTTATAGCGGGCTTTTCTTTAACTGCTTTTGCAGTAAGATGCTTGGAGCTTATGGCTAACTTTCTCTTGATAAGATAGATATTTTGTGGCAACGAAGCGTTCAGTATTAAATTTCCTGAGGGAGCCCGCTCCCGGACCCCGCTGGAGGCTTGCGCCTTTGACGCTCGTTTAGGAAATCGGTCGGTAGTTATCCTAGATCAGCGCTTGTAGATCTTTTACGCCTGGGCACCCCAGCTAAAATTCTTGGAAGCTCGAAGGGCTCCCTGAAATTTTCCCTAGAGCACAGCCTTGCAGCCCTGTAGTTATTGGAAGTATGATACATTACATGCTATTATATTGTTGAATGTGGAAGTGCATTTTTTGAGGACATTAGTAAGAGGAATGCAAATTTTTTTTAACTACCCCATACTATTAACATATATGATGGTAATATTGATATAAGTTTTGTTTTGAGTAGCAAAGGAATCCTTGAGTGTAACTCATCTGCTATAGTGTATTAGTCCTTTACAGAACATCTCCATCGCTCCTGTACACATTTGCAACTTTCCATTGCCATTCAACGTACCATACCATTAATTACACCAACTCATCCCGCGTAAACGCCTTCGGGCATCTTCTTGTTTAGTTAGCTTTTGGATTTTTCTTTCTCACTTACCAATCAAGGCCAGTGGAGGGGTATTGAAGCCAGAGGATGACTTCCAGGAACTGTCCACTGTAACATAGCTATTTACCTCGGGCAGATTTCTGGATAGGTCCAGAAAGGCGACTCATGAGCATGTCACTTTGTGCTCATCGGTAGCCTCAGCCGCGAGTTGCTTGGCAACTTTTGCTATTTAAATTTGGAGCAACTTTTGATTTTTGGGGAAACTTGATCAAATCATTAGCAACCAAGAGCCATAATGGGACTATTATGGCTCTTGGCCTTCACTGATTTTTATTTTCTTCTTCTATTTCTTTCCCCCTTGCCGCGCCAGGTCCCTGGTACTGACTAGTGCAGAGGAAGAACTTTCCAACTCTTACTTCTCTGCCTCGAATGAAAACAAACCTATCAGAAAAGGACCATGAAACCACAGGAAGGTGCGAACTCCTGAGTTTTATGAAGCATTTCTCCTGATCACTTGAATCAAGCGAGAGAGGGGATCGGGGTTACGAATGTATGAGATCACATCTTGCGCGTGACATCACGATGCCTCGAAAAGTTCGGATCGTCCGGCCTGTAAATGAACTTGCACAATGAAACCCAAAGAGAAAAAAATCTTGATCTGAGAGGGTTTTCGTCTCACAACGTTCTGTTCACACAACTGACACTGACCTATTTAGGAGGGGATATCGGGATTTGCGGTGTTGCGGTGTTCCGGTGTCGCTAATTTTTTTTGTGCTAGTTGCGGTGAATAAATTCCCCATCTTGTGGTGTTGCGGTGATCTCAAACTGTACGGTGTGCAGTATTTCTGATTTAAAACCTAGGGCACTTGGTGGACGTAATAGCTTACGGACCCTCTGCTGTGCTGTGGTTTATTATTTGATCGTAGTCACTAAAACGAGGAACATTAAGAACATTGCATTGAGACTTGAATTAAAAACTCCCGTTATAATTTATATTTTTAAACGCGTTGTCAAAGGCTGCATCGATATCGAGGTCATTGCGCCTACAACAGGGTGCTTAACCGGCTGTGAACTCTTATTGGTTAACGTATCGACGATTTCTGTGGTCAGTCACTTTTTAATTGCTTTATGGAGGGACCAAGAAGAGTTGTGCCTTTCCCCTGAATAGAGGCGTCCCTTCAATAGAGGTCACAAATACAAAGATTACGTGAACATTTTTCCGGGACCATATTTTGTGTCCCCTGGATGGAGGTGTCCCTTCAGTAGCCTGGGTAACAACTACAAAGATTATCTGAACATTTTTCTGGGACCAAATTTTGTGTCCCTTGAATTGAGGTGTCCCAAAGGAGAGGTTCCACTGTAGGAATCGTTTCGTGACGTGCACCCTCCCGGGCTCCTTCGCCCTTCGCCCGTACTTGAGAACTTTCCTCGCGCCTTTTCCCTGCCCCCGGGTACGGTCTTCGAACCGGTCGTGCCTCGTTATGATGCTCAATCTAAATCGTAACGCCTGGTGACTTTCTGCTGGTGGCAAACGAAGAAGTCATTGTGATCAGCTTTTTTGTGGATTATTCTGCCTTCAATTCGCTACTAAACCCAAGGCATGATTTCTATATGCTAACGATGATGTTTTCCTAATCAGAGATCTTTTTCGTTGACATGAAAAGACGGCGGGAGGAGCTTTATCGCCATGACATCGATTTTCCCCCGTCGTTGTCGATATGTCCCGTTTGTGGGACATCAGTGTCAAAGGAAAACATTGGAATTCACGTTGAAGAACATTTTACTCAGCCTTCTACATCTTCTGAGGGTAACAGATTCGATGATCTAGAAGGTAAGATAAGTACTATCGAAATCGCACGTAAAACGTCAACAAAAGTAGCGAATTTAAAGCCTCTAGCAGGTCCTAAAGCTAGCTTGAGTTACTCTGGCTGTTAATTAATGTTTGTTTTCGTTTGATTTTAGTACAAGGAATTTCTGATTCTGCCGATTTCCGGGCCTGTACATATGGAAAATGTCAGGAGTTAGGTAATGTTCAGTATTTGACTTTTCTTGGTGCATTTAAAGACCTTATAGTTCGCCTTAAATTTTTCTTCTCAAAATGGTCTCCTATAAATATTTCAACTCAACCATTCCTTAAATTATACATTCACAAGAAGCTTAAATGTTCCCTCTTTCAGCCAAAAGAAGTAATGTTAGGAAATTGTCTCTCACAAAGTGTTTAAATGACAACTAAATGTATACATAATAAAAAGAATTGAATTAACTAAAATAAGCTTAACTATTATTGTTGACAAATTTTAAAATGAATTAGTGGCAAAATTTTAAATATTAGATGAAAATATTGATTTTTGACTGTTGTTATTCTAAGTTTACTTTGATTCCAGCAGATGACAGAGCCAAACAATCATACATAGAAGGTCACTCAATAGTAACTGGAACAGAATTTTTACCATGTAAGCCATTAACGGAAAGTCTCTTAGTTTTTTCTAATTTTTTCTTATTTTTTCTCTGGCAGAAAAACACTGATACTTTGTTAAAGCTCTGTAAAATAGAGAATACTTGATTTTGAGAATCATTTTTTGCCTTGAAGCAGAGAAGAATGCTACCGTTAGTATGTACTTAGAACATAACCATGGTAGGGTTAGCTTTGTCCATAAAGCACTTGACTGCAGAAAGGGACCAAACCAATGCTCAGGGGCTTGAGTTAACTGAGAAAAAAAGGTACTGCCCTTGCCATTCAAATGGCTAGGTTCTTGTGTGGCTTGGATGACCATTTAAAGTAAAAGAAGCAGTCCCATCTCCAGTAGGAGATGTAAATACAGTGTCCTCAAGAAGATTGCATTTTTGTGCTAAATACATTGACAATCAAATGAAAAGCAAATTCTTAAAGCTGTTGAATGTTAGTTTGGCAAGGGCAATATTGTTTTAAAAGGACCAGTTTTTCAATAAGAGAACAGAGAGGGGTTGTGTGAAAACTTCTGCTAGTAGACAACTCCAATAAGCACACCTGTATTCACGAGCCCAGCCACAGGTCTGGTCTTAAGTTAGTCCATGTATGGGTAGTTTGATTTTAAAGGGAATTTTTCTCAAGGAAAAGGTAGATCACCACTCATATTTATACAATTTAAAAATATAATCCTCAATGTCACTTTAAATTTCAGCTTTTAAGCTACATGTGCTACCCCTACGGCTTAAACATACAGCATGCTATATTGTCCTTTTTTTAATTTTTTTTTGCTGAAAAGTATATTTAAACTTGATATAAAATAACATGTGTTATTTCATATTAGAAAGCAAGCAAAATATTCAGAAAACGTAATTAATGGTACAATATTTCACAAGTAATTATTAGATAAAAATAAGACTGTTTAATTGCTAGAAACAAAATCTAAAGAGCTTTTACTTAAGACTACTTGACCCTTAAAACCTTAATATAAAATTACGTGTATAAATTCTCATATATTTGTCTTTTGTCTCCATTTATTTCCTGTGGAAGTAGTAGAGACTAAGTTGTTGAAGTATCAATATTTAATTCATCTTTTGTGATCATGTTCTTAATTCTCATGACCACTCTGTTTCATAAAGCATTGGTATTACATGGAGAAACTTCATGCTGATCTCTCTCATGGCTTGAAGGGTTGAGTCATTCATAGCATTATATTGTTCTGGAGCATTTCACAGAGTTCAGAGAAAGTCCGTTTAACAGCTTGCCCTTTGGACAAGCAGGAACAATAATCAATTAATTTTTCGCATCAGCTTGAAGAACAGCTTTAATTTAAATCCCCATGGATTAATTTTAGGATTGTAAACGATTTGTTTGACAGTACTTCAATCTGGAATTTAAGTTTTCCCCAAAAAATTCACTCGCATGTCAGACAAATGAAGAACAGAATTCAGTAGCCCCACAAAATCCACTAACCCTGGGCTATTCAGATACAGCATTTCTCTGCATGCTTTTTCATGGGGTTTGCAAACCACTACATTTCAAAATACCTTGAGGTTCATGCATTTTAATACTTTGTCTTATCTCAGTTTCTACTTCAGACTGGGATGACCATATCTTTGCTCACACTTTGGAAGACCAAGCAATAAGTGATTCCACTGGCACTAATCTTCTTCAGGCTCCTGTGACTTTTCATCAGCAAGAGCAGTACGACATGCCATTAATCTATGCACAAAGTGATCAGGCACTGGCTCAGGAACTTGAAAAACAGGTGCTCTAGACCATTCCATTAAAAAACTTACTTTATAGGGGTAATTCAATTACTGGTAAACTAGTTATTTTCATTTGTGGCCCAAAAGATCAAAAGTCCCGACTGGCTGGAGGCAAACCAGCAGACTATTTGTAAGTGTGACCCAGGACTTGAACTTGGAACTTATACATGTATAAACTGAGAACAAATCCATCTAGCAGTTAGGCCAGGGAAGTTCTAGATTACAATTTCAGCACTCTACATGCTTGCCCATGTTGCCTCCAGGGAACATCATGTGTAGCTTCAGGGGATATCATGGTTATATGGTCAGGTTTTCTGTCGTGCTAGAAAAGACCATTTCATCTTTTAGGCTTTTTTAGTATACACTGTACATGCATTATTTACATGTATTTTGGTTTCTTGTTGTGTAGGAAATGGAGCGACTTGAAAACCAGCCATGTGAATGGGATGATCACATGTTGGCTCAGGCTCTGGAGAGTGAGCAAAGAAGAGAACTTGAAGAACAGCGCCAGCAAGAAGAGGAAGAGTTAAAAAAGCTGCAGGTATAAGAACCATTCCTCAATAACGATTGAAACAAATGATTGATTCATATTTGTTTTTAAAAACCTTTTTTTCTTTTCTCTCCTTAAGTAATAACCCTTGTGTTGTCAAAGCTCTCTTAAGTGGGTGCCCTCAGAAAGTAAATAAGGGGTCTAAAAAGAGAGCTGACCAAGTATAACAGTGTTTTTAAGAGAGCTTTGTCTGTATGTCAAAGATAAGAAGGAGTGCATGTTCAACTTACGTGATGGTCTCGAAAAGGATTTTTCAATCCTGTCATCGTGTGCAAAATTTAGCTGCAATCCTGTCATTCAGGCCCCTGCAGTTGTTCAAAAGGTGAATAATGCTGTCCAATGGATGTGTTTTAGTTAATGTTTTAATATCCCTGGTAATTTTTATTTTTTCTTTGTTTCAACTTCATTAGCGTACTTTATCATACCCAGAATAAAAGGAAACAACTACTAACGACAGATATATATCCAGTGGATAGTACAATAATAATTTGGTTTCCCAAACACTTTTCTCACCCTAGTTGTTGAAACGATAGATAATGCTATCCACCAGATAAATCACTATCCAGTGGATAAGTATTAGGGAAACTGATTGCATTATCCACTTGATAGAGATTTATCTAGTGGATAGCATTATTCAGGTTTGACAACTGGGACCTGCTGGATAGTGATTTACACAGCTTGATAGCACTATCCAGTGTTTGAACAGATTAGAATCCTATTTCGACAATTTAAGGGACTCATGTAAATTCGTCCTCTTCAAAGAGAAAATTATGTGACCAGGGCATGATGTTTTTTAATTTCAATTTAGTTTCTTCTCTTGCTGGCCATGTGCACTGAACTTACATTTTCGATTGAGCAACCTCATCATTGATGGATTTTTTCCCATTTTAAGGCAATGTATGGTATGTCATCCACTGGTGGCTATGTTTCTCAATACAGTCGGCACCTGGAGAGAGAGGTAGCACGAAACAAGACATCTGTTGGTGACTATTATGCCAGGAAAGCAGAGATGCTAAAAATTTTGATGACCGATAATGACAGTGGAGAATCTTGTACTAGGGGTAAAAAATACATTTTTATGTACAGTTGTACCGTGTTTATTCTACGGGGCCCAATACTCTAAACCTGTGAGATCCAGGGTGTCCATCATATGATTTCTTTGTAAGAACCAAGTTTTCCTAGTTCCCCAAGTGCAAAGTAGTGTACCAAAGGCCTCCAAGTGCTGCTAGAGCACACACCCCTGGGATTCTGCTGTTGTTATTAATTTGAGCCTTCTTGTGGTATTGTTTCTGTAGAGAAGAAACTCTGCTCCACCAAGGAGCCCATAACTCAGGGCTGCCACCTTCTTTGAACTTGTGTCCCAGGTCAACCTTGCTCCCAGGTTCTCTCTCCTACCCAGCGAGACGGGTAGGAGAGGACCCGGGGAATGAGGTTGCTCGTTTCACTGCATTTTCTCCAACCAGTTTATTTTTAAAATGGTTTTGATGCGAATTTAGAATATTATTTTTTAAGTCCTACAAACCAGTCAGCAAAATCTAAAGGCCTTATTAATGACATGGCATTTTTATCCTTCCAGTGGTGTTTAGTTTTCCTTTTTGATATCTTACACTTTAAATGTGCTCATAGATGGAGTGGAGTTTCCATTTCCACATGAAAAACTGCCCAAAAATGTATCGAACTGGTCCATGAAAACGCTAGGGCAGGTTATGGGCTCTTGGCTCCACTTTGACTTTCTTCACCTTGGTGTTATTGGTACCACCATATATACTGTTGGGGAGTAACCTGACGATTGACTAGCACCACCCTCCTTAGGGTGGGGGGGGGGGGTAGCAATACTCCTTGGTGCCTCATGCTACAGCACTTGGCTCAAGCACTGACCGTTTTGGCCTCATGGCTTGTGAGGCTTCTCACTTACTCTCATGGTTAAAAGGTCCACTGTGTGTGTTTGCTCACAGGTATTATTCCTCAGCTTCATCATCGCTATGAGATGGGTGTTAGTGGAACAAAGGCTTCATGGCTTGCAATTGACACAGATCATTTTGCTAGTACAGTGGGTGATGCTGGCTGGGGCTGTGGATACAGAAACCTGCAAATGCTGATCTCTGCACTGTTGAAAATGGAAATCTACAGACCTGTTATGTTAAGTGGTGAGTGCAGTAGAATTCTGGGGTGCCTTGATACCATTTGTGCAAACCATTCAGTCAGAAATCTTGTTAATCTCATACCCAGATCTCTCGTCGACGAAGCCCAAGGCGAGATTGGTAAAAAAAAATTCAATTTTTCTTTTTGGCAAGAATGCGAGGGAGTAACCTAAGTACTGACAAGAGATCTGGGTACAAGATTAAAATCTTGTGCATAAATATTTTATAATGGGCCATTTCCGAGTTCAAAAACTCTCACTTTCAAAACAAGACTAAATTCAAAACCTTTCTTTTGAAAATGGATTTTATTTGCATGAAAATAAAAAATCATTTTCATATTAGACTGTTCACAGTTCACTGTTCCCCTATTTTTTTGTGAGATCGTCGAGATATAGCGCGTCTTATGTACCGAGGGGGCCTTCTCACTTCCTCCCAAACCACCCCCACCCCCTAAGTAGTTTTGACACTCATGCAAGACGGCAGCCCGTAACGGAAAGCGCTCGATCTCGACGATCTTACGGAAAAATAGAGGACTGTGAATAGTCTATTTCCATATCGATAGCTTTGCACTTAGCCTCGCTTTTAAACAGCGGCATGGGGCAACTCAGAGATGCTCTAGTAATAACGACCATGTGGGAGCAGGAGCCACATCAAAGTTGAGCCAAATCAGTAGGAGAGATTAATACCTGTAAACAAATTGCATTTCCTGAAATGTAGTACATGTAGTGGGTCTAGCAGCCAAATAGTCCCTCTTATCGGCCGTTTAGGGTTAAACTCCGCTTGGAGCAAATTTGTAACTTTTCTCCTTTAAAAAGGACATATGTCACAACTTCTGCACCCTATGTTGCAGCCAGACTTGTCACTTGAGACCTAGATGAGAACTTTACATCTACATCGCATATTTAGACGGTCTGTGATGCTGGCTAAACGTCTGCAGCCTAAAACTATTTAGTTTGTAATTTGCAGTAAGTTTTAATCCTAACAATGTTCGAAACTGATTTTTGTTTATTTTTTTCCAATGATCTATGCAGTTGGAGACAAAGTGCCCTCCATCCCACGAATTCAACAATTTATTGAGTCGGCTTGGACAAATGGTGAGTCATTTGATGGAACTTGAAACCATTTGCTTTACCATTTTTGCCTGAACCACACCAAACTGCCAGTGGGGATCCACTTCTCGTATACCGCTTGTGACGTCATCATTTGTAACGGTCATCATTTTTAACGCCGGCTGGGCCGGTCACTTTTAGCCGAGCCAACTCTTTGCAAGAACGTGCCCGTATTGACCCACGCGGGGTTGCCTACTTTGTTAGCGCAGGAAAATTCATCCTTTTTGGCGGTATAAATTAATCCTTAGTTGGCCAATAGCGTAAAATATGTATTTTCTGTATGAATTAAATTTGTTTTGTAGTGCTATTTCACACATTAGAGAGCTTTAGATTCTAAGACGAGGACGACTACGAGAACTAGATTTTTCCAATACTAAGTAGTGCGCGCGCGAACCAATGTCATTTTGGCGGGAAAATGTGGTAGCTGTCGTCAGTCTACTACGAGTTTTAGCGAGAATGTGGTAGTGGCGAAAACAAGTTATCAAATGTTAGAAATTTTATAATTTATGCGATCGGGAGAGGGCTTTATCTCCTTCAACGGAAATAAGCGTGCTAACTTTTGTGGGTGTCTACTAGAGTAGGAGAGAAAAATGTGACCCCCGTAGTCTTCCTCGCCCTCGAATCTAAATCTCTCTATTGCCTCATCCAATGCCTCATCCAGAGCTTTTCTTTCGCTTGCTCGGGTTTGGCTTCCTCGAAGCCTCCTTTTTTCCTCCTCACTCAAGAAGACAAAAGGAGGCTCTTCTTGCAGGGTGCATCTAATGTTGCCATGATATCTTGAAGGGTTTGACAGACAAGGATCCGAACAGCTTGGCTGCAAACTGATCAATACCAGAAAGTGGATTGGTGCAACAGAAATTGCAGCAGTGTTGAGATCTCTTCAGATAAGGTAGACGTAATAACTTAGGGCTTAAAATCTTTTTCGGACGGTGGCTCGGTCAAGTCTAGTTTCTGACCAGTCAAGATATTGAAAACAAAAAGGTACTGAATGACAGCTAGTAAACTTAAAACTACCATCTACTCGTTGAAGTCGTTGCTGGACCGTTTAAAAAGCGGCTTATTGGATAAAATGGCTTAAAACTTAACCAAAGATAACCTGAGATTTACCATTGAGGGTTTTAACGTTTGTTCAAGAAGGAGTGTGTGTGTGTGGCCGGTAAACATGACGTGGACTGAAGTTTGTGGCCGGTCAAGGCGCCATTCTAGCCGGTCATTGTCGGATGACTGGACGTTATTTTGAGCCATTAAAAGAACAAATGCTACATGTGTGAAAACAACCATGACATTTCTCAAGAGAGGATGACTTGGATGCAAACCTGTAATCGAATGTTTCTTCGTCTACACAATGTGTCGCTGGAAATGCTCGATATTAATTGGGTTAACAATCATTCTGGCGGATCATGGACAAGTTTAAGCTAAACGCCTTAAATGTTAGAAATGCACAGGCGTAGAGTTTCATTTGAGCAGATGGTGAAGCTTAAGTATACGCTCATATAGCGTCTTGTTTCAAGAGTGTCGAGGGTTGACCAAAGCACTATCAAGAAATGTGCCACGTATAGACCGAAGAAGTAACTGAATTGAACAAAGAATTAGCGTAACTCTCTCAAGCCCCCGACGGTTCAGGAGAGACCGGGGAAGTTTGCACGCAGGCTAATCTTCCCTGAGTGTAGGCATTTGTCGTTTGCTAGGATATCCCGTAACAGAACCAAAGTCAACTCTACGTTCTCCATTTTCAGTAGGGAATTTGAACGTGCAAAGTTGCTGTTTTGTTTTTTTATTTTTTGCCGTCGTCGTCGTGGTTGTGCGGATTTTGCCACGGGATTCAAACGTTCTTACAGCTTCGCGTCACATAATGTCTGACTAAAGTGACCATTTTTTTGCAGAACCAAAATAATTGACTTTCATCAAGCAACAGGCTGTGACGGAACACACCCAGAAATGTTTTCATGGATCAAGCGTTACTTCAGCTGTAGCGTCAGTTCCACTGTACTTCCTACGAGTTCATCAGTCCTTCGGCAAACCTCTGTTCCACCACTTTACCTTCAACATCAAGGTTAGCGTACAATAGACCTATTTGTATTTTTTTGTAGTTTATTTTTACTCCATCCTATAGATAATACATTAGGTGTACAATATCAATTAGTACAAGGTTGATTAAACTACGTGTACATAATAAAAAAAAGAAAGTTAGAATGGAGAAGGGCACATTATAGAAAACTAATTATGACCCTTAAACAGGATTGACTTTATTCTAATATAGCTTTGTCATTCATTAAAACAGCTTCAAAGGACGCGGCCATCATCATCGCTGACCGCTGACCGCTCATCGTAATCATCCTCATCCATTAGATTCTAAGACGAGCGCTACTAAGAAAACGAGATTTTCAGCGTCATTTTGGCGCGAAATCGTGATAGCCTTCGTCATTGTACCACGAGTCGTAGTGACGGAAACATATTTATCAAATGTTATCATTTTGCGATCGCCAGGGGGCTTAACCCTCTTCAATAAAAATAACCGTGTTAACAGCCTGATTTCTGGTGAAAAAAAAAAGGAAAATGAAGCTTCCTGAAGTGTCCATTTTTATAAAACGCGAAAAAAAAAGCTTAAGTCAAAACTCGTCCTCATAGATGTCCTTGTCCCGAAATCTAAAGGTCTCTAGTTCTGAAAGAGAATAAACCCTTACCTTTCACTCCCAAACAAAAAATGCCTGTATTGCTAAAACAAAAATGATATCTTTAACTGAACAAGAAAAACAAAAAGAATGAAGAAAAACAACAAAAACAATAACACCAAAAAAACTGTTAAAAAGATAACTGTCACAATTCACTTGTTATCTTTGAAGAAATGTTTTCCTAACAGTTTAATCCGTGTTTAAGATCAGTCCCTTTTTTGCTTTGGTACACTCTTGAAAAGGTGCAATTTCGCAGTTTTGAATGCTAGTTTCAAGAACGTCCGTAAGCTTTTTTGCAAAGCAGAGTCTGATTTTTGAGCCTTCCCGTTTTTGCTGTTTATGCTGATTTTTGTAGCGGTTTTGTGACAACACCTTTCAGCGTTTAGATTTCGAGGGATCCCTTAGCTTATGTTCAGCTCTTGCACCGACAAGAAAACCATATCGGAATGAGCTTCTGTGCACACACAAGACGGTAATTTTGGCGCGATTTCTGTAACGGAGCGTCGCGCCGATCTCCAAAGTGGAATATCGGATGGATTCTGTGCCACACTTTAGAAAATCTCACTTTTGTGCAATCTGACCAGGTATTTGGAGTGTAGCGGAAGGGAATAAATAGGAGCGAGGACTGGAATCCACTGAGACGGAAGTAAACGTTCAGGAGTGAGGCCGGACTGGGATTTAGTTTATCAAATCCCCTCGGCCAACTGCTCGGCGGCACGATCTTCGATGTGTGCGAACGACTTGTTGCAGTTCTGTGCCGTTAACCCTTTCACTGCTAGAGTGAATAATAGAGTTTTGTAAGGTAGCTTTAACTATTGAGTCTGTGTACGAAATCCTGTCGTGTGACCATTCAAATGAAATCTCTCTACCTGTACTTACACATGGTGCTACTTGTTTTTCAAAATTGTACAAAATGAAATTTGAGATTTTTTTGTCGAATTTTGCCTTTGGCCACATTTGGCAGTGAAAGGGTTAATGTTTATACTATACAGGTTAGCTTTTCGTGTCAGCACAAAAAGCTGTCCGCTAAAGTATGAACATAGCCTTAGATTCGGTTTGTTGTATGACTCGAATCCTTTACTTATTTCCAGGGCACAGCCGGTTAGTGATTGGAGTAGAAGAGCATTCTGGGAAGGATGGCGGCTTATATCTTTTGTTGTTCGATCCTTCACACTCAGCTAAGCAGATGCAAAGCCTGTTGGAAGATATTCAGAGCAGTAGTTCGGGCTTGCGGCATTTGCGTCGGTCCCTCAAGCAGATGAGATGTAAGCAGTACCAAATTGTGTACGTTGACGGCATCATGGAGCCCTCGGAAATGGAAGAAAGTAAAACTATGGATTCTCTGAGAGTGCCGTGACTAAAATAAAGCTTAATGTAAAAACTCGGTACAAATTTAAAGGAATATATTCTTGTGACAAAGCCGCGGGGCTTTACGGCCCTTCCTCTCAGTACTCTCTAGCCGAAACCAAACGTGGGAACTGGTATTGATAACTCTGCTTTGTTCCAGTCCCTTTCGTCCGCTCTGCGTTGTTCAACCTTGTTCCCAGTCTCTCTCTCTCTTCTTCCCGCCAATTGAGCAACTGGAAAGGAGAAGAACAACCTTGGGACGACGTTGTGCGTCATTTTAAAAATGAGTCTTAAAAATTAACCGCATTGTATAATAATTTGCCCTGTAACTTAAGAATGTAAAGAGGGACAGATACATGTAAGTACTGCCTTTTAACTGTATTTATTTCTTCAAATTTAGAATTGGATGCATTTATTTTAGTTACTTCAAATGGAACAAAATAAATAGTATTTATGCAATGAAGCTGCCTAGTTTGCGATTTTCTAGTATTTATTTCGTCTTGTGTCATCAACTTCATTTCATAACATCTCTCATGCGTGTTAATATTATTGGAGAAAACCTTTAACACGGTGGTTTTTTAAGCGCAAATTAAACTGCGCTTTAGTCTAGTCTCTTGCGCTTAACTAAAGGCTTGTTACCAAAAAACTTGATGGACCTTTATCCATAGTACAGAAAACCTATGAGCGAGTTTTAGTGTGGAAAGTGCAGCAAATTTGACTTGGGCGAGTAAGAGCTTGAGGGGCCTGGAACCTTGGTCGCTTTCCACAAGATTCCTTGCTTGCAGTGTCTCGTCTTCTCATTTTAATTTCTTTCATTGGTTTAGGAACAGCATCTTTTCTCTTCCATAGCAGTCTTTTGTGTTCCTCTGGCAACCAACGCACATGCAATGGACATTCAGGAAACCCCAAATTTGAAAGGCTTAGAGCTGCGCAGGCGCTTTCTGCATTCTCTAAGACGACATGCGCACTACATTCACTCTGAAAACTGATTTTCCTAACCGAGCCAAAATGGCCGAAAACTCTCTGCAGAGATTCTTCTGTGTAGCTGGGAACAGTGCCGTGATTTCGCCAGCGGACGCTTAACGTCGTCTGCGGCGGAGTGTGTTGAACGCTATAGAGCCTTGTGTAGTCTCTAACGGACTTCTCAAGCAGACTTTGTTGGTAAATACTCAGTGGCCGCAGCGCAGAACGCCATTTGGCTGCAGTAAGATTGTTTGGACTGTATAGTTTAAGAGCTCTGAGAAGTCCTGAAAGAAGAAGAAGACACTGGCTCAGACAGAACCTTTTTTATATGGCGGAATCCGTGAGCGGGCAAAATGAAACGAGTCCTGCGTTCTGATTGGCTACCTGGGCCCATCTAGCCCGCTCGGGATTTCCCACGTTGGTCCCGTAAAAAACGTCCTCTTTTTGGCCCTATAATAAATCGTTTATTGACCAAGCTTACTAAAGCAGAGTTACTCTCTACTTTTCGCAAACTTTTTCGCAACCTGCAACAACCTGATTTGTTTTAAGACAGGTTTTATTCGTGCGTGGTAAAACGCGCAACGTCGCTGTTCATGATCAAGTCGTTGTGCAGCAAAGTTGCAAAAAAAGTTGCACGATTTTGCTGCCCGTTTTACCATACCTTTAGTTTCAAGTGGCGCTGACATACCTGGAGATTCTCTTGAAACACCCTTTAAATTGCTAACAGCTGGTCGGTTGTCAGATTCGTTTTTACTGTTTCTTCTAGGCCGTAACAAGGAATCGTCTCTGTTGTCGTCCACTTTTTCAAATTTTTCTAGCACTTGCGTTATTTGATTCGCCTTTTCCTTTACGCAGCTTCTTTTCAACCAAAGCTTCTCGCGAGGTTTGCGTAATGGAACCACCGTGATAACATGCGTCAAACTGAGAGACATTTTGAGAAACATTTTGATATCAACTAGCACGACCTAGTGTTTGTGCTGACAAATCAAAAATTACACTGCGTCACAGTTAGAGGAATGTCTCGCGCTGATATTGTACCCCCTAAGTGATCTCAGTACATAAACTCTGTTATCGTTCAGTAGGTTTTACGTACAGACGCAGATCTTACTTTTTTATGCTTCGCCGATTCTTTTGTTCTATTTGACCGTATGGACAGCCTAGTGGTGGTAGAGATCATGGTTCTTGTCAGTACTGTACTGTACACAAGCTTAATTTTGCGTGGCAGGCGTCAAAAGCCAAGAGGTGGGGGGCAGGAAAAAACGGAGGGACATTCCCGTTTGCGTTTTTTTTCCCTCCCCTACCCTCCCATTTTTTGCCTACTCACGGGCTAGGATGATTTTTTTTTTTGCCTGTGTGTATTAGCACCGCGTTCTCTCATGTACAAGGGTAATGACGCCTTCATCTTTTCGCAGTATGACATAGAATTAACAGTAAATTTCATATATTCCTTATTCTTTTTACCATTTCTCTCGTTTATTTCTTTTTCTTTTTTTGCTTTCTACTATTTATTGTATAATTTTCAATTTCAATGCTATGTGCGCGCGTTTCGATGAAACGTCATTAGCATTTTAAATGGAACTTTAGAGAGAAACGACTCAAACAGGGAGAATTAAAACATGAAACACAGTACGTAAATGCAATAAAAACCCTGAGCCTTCCCATATGCAAGGGATTTTGATGCATTTTTTACTTATTTTGATGACCTTTTTCCTTCTAAGAGTCTTGCCGATATTGGAAAGTTTAAAATATCGACGAGAAATAAAGAAAATGATCCACAAGAAAAAAAGAGAGAATGCTTCGAGACTTGCTTTTCAAAATCTCGAAGCTCTCTCTCTTTTTTCTTGTAGATTATTTTTTACTTCATGTCGACAGCGGTTCAGACGTTGAAATTGACAGAAATTTTCGTTGATAATAAAGAAACAAATAAACTGATTGATGTTCACGTGTTATCTCAGCCTAGTCCCTAGGCGTTCTCTCTTGCTCCGTTGTCCGTGCGAAGTTAGGGAAAGAGCGGGCGAGAGAACGCCGTTCTCGGCGTGTATCTCTCGGTGACGTCACAGCTCACGGTAGAGTGCAGGATTGACCGAGCCGAGAACGCCTAGGGACTAGGCTGGTGTTATCTGATTCTCTAATTTAGGCATCCTACTGATGAACAGTTGCGACACGTAGACATCTATTTTTTAGCAACTAATATAATTCGCAGTCTGTCTACTTTGAATGGATCTCGTGTAATTGTTTTCAGCTCTCTTAGTCTGCGAAAATAGCCATCTCTCCTCAATCTTCACCGCTAGGGACGTTTCGAGGCTACAGCTCTCCCTTCTTGTTTCCTTTTTCTTTTTTTAGTGAATGAGGTGGAGGAAAGGTCAATGAACTGGGCGTGTGCTCTTCAATAAATCGAAATGGATAAAGACTGAAAACATTATGACAGTTATGGAGAAGTTTTGGCAACGAAATTGCTTACATTTTTTTTCCAGATCAATGTAATTTCTGGCTGGGAGTAATAAAGATCAAAAGCGAGATAGTGGCGGAAATCGAGACTACTTTTGGGCGTGACCATACATTGATATAAATAGAGGGCCATGAAAAGCTCTAAGCCCACAAATGAAGACTGAATTGTTCATTTTTGAACTGGGAAACAGGACCAGATTAACGTCCGACTAGGGGGTACCTTGATAAATAGCCACGGACTAGTATCTCGTACCCACCCTGGTCAGGAGCTGATCGACTCCTGCCCTGGTATAGGGTTGACTTCTCTGGGTAGGCACTCGATTTCTTAAAGTACAAACATTAACCACAAAGGACTGCAAAGGACCGCAAACGAATATGCCGTGAACGCGTGACATTTGCATGAAGTAGGTGGATGGCTGCAAGTACGGTGATATCACATCCAAAATTTCTTGCATCGATAAAGACTGAGGAATTTTCTTCACATGGTGATATGCTATAAAAGATTTGTACTCGAGAGCGCCCATACCTCGTTCCCAGGGTCCTCTCCTACTTGGACCCTCTATCTTCCCCGAGGGGTGCCGAGTTGGCCAGGGACACCTTCGGTCAACTCCCTTTATAGCGAACACTGTAGGGACCTCAAGTTAGTGTCCTCATTAGCGAGAATTTTTAATAGCGGGAGTTTATTTCAGTCAAACGTCTGTAAATTATTTTTAACTGGGACTAAGCTGCTGTCCGTATTATCGCAGAGATGCCAACCCTTGGAGATCTAAAATCTGGGAGCTCTCTTTTTTTAGAGCCCCCCACCCGCGGAATTTCAACGGACCCCCCCCCACCCCGACAAATTGACCCAGTCGCCAATGGGAATGACTTAGGACATTATATGAAGTCTTACATGAATTACATACAATCAAAATTCGCAATCATCGTTTGGATGCCAGATAGAATGTTTGTCGATCAGTGACTAAATACGTGTAAAAATGCCCCAGAAACTGTACTGCGAAAAAAAAAATTCAAATTTTGAGCTAAAAATGGGCTAAATCTCAAACTAAGGCACAGAAAAGCTCAAAAGATGATTTTATCCCGAAGATATGGTGACCCGTACGGGAGATCGGTGCCGTATCCTATGTATGTTATCGGGGTGTCCGTTATAGCGGAGTGTCCGCAAGGCAAAAGTTGACTGTACTCAAAATTACCGTCAAAGAATCTGTTGATAATTTGTCTTTCCCTTCTATGCTTCTGGAGTCTCAGATTTCACCAAAACCGCTCGCGAAGCTCTTGATTTTAAACTTTTTCCCCAGAGATTTCTTTCTCTCGATGCGTATGACTGGGTACTTTGACGTGACGTGATCAACGGTCGCTTAAAGCGTCGTTGTACAACCAGGCTGAAGTTGAATTGGCAGACAACTTCAGCCTGGTGTCGAATTGGCAGTGAATTGGCAGACAACTTCAGCCTGGTCGTTGTACACACAGTGCATCGTTGTTTTAGAGACTCTGGAAGGTTTAAATTGAACGTGAAAAGGCTTTTTAAAAAGCAGCGAAGTCAACACCAAGAGGAGAACGAAGAAGACTGCTCGGTTGAGTAAATAGCCGGAAGCTCGCGTGATGTTTGGCGCGCTTTGTCAAGGTCAAATGAACACTGCGCCCGCGCGCAAATTAGGCCGCATGTAGTGTAACCGATGTAATTTTGAGTTAAGTGCGAATTAAGAGTAATTTTTGGACGAACGTAGAAGTTTTTTTTATTAGGAAACAGTAAATAATGGTGATTTTTTCTTTCATTAAAGAAAACATCACGAGTGGGTCCAAAGAGTGGGTCGGACGTGCCGGATTGTTGCAGACTGAAGGAGACTGGGCTCCATAAATGCTGCGCAGGCGCACATTTTCATGTGGAAGCACGCCACCCAGGAAAAAAGAGCCGAAAAATTCACAGAGACATTTTCAATTTCGCGGTTCAAAGTGGTCATTCTTTGTAAGATTTTATTGCACTTTCCCTGAACCCGTCTTCAAGATGGCGTCTAGAGCGAATGCACGAATAAAATCCTACAAGAACAAGGCCTTAGATTCGCAAGAAATGAGGCGAAGGCGCGAAGAAGAAGGGATCCAACTTCGAAAGACTAAACGAGAAGAACAAGTGAGTGATGTACAAAATTCAAAATTGACAGCGTGCATGGTACATGATATTCTTATTGATTCTGTCTTTATTTGGTAAATGTAACGTTTTTCCTCTCTCCTTGGTATTTTTTGCTAGATGTTTAAAAGAAGAAATGTTGATTTGACAAAGTCCATGAGTCAGACTAGTGAACTGGAGGCCCTTCTAACCACGAACCACGTTGGTCAGGTAATCATTTACATGTCGCAATGTTTCACTACATGGTTTCATTGTCGTAGTAAAGCCTTAGAGAGTAATAGTATGATTGTCATGTTATGTTACGAGCCTTTTTTGAAGTCACTTTTAAATTCAGGTGACGAAGACTTAAGTGTCTGCTGTCTTGAATTGAGAAGTCCGATCTATTTTAAGCTTTTTTTTAAAAGAAATTTTAGAATATTCAGTAAGTACTTAGACACTTGAGTCATTTACTTAGAAGAGTGAATAGACTCGATCCTTAGTCATTTACGTTTGCGAATATTCGTTGTGGTTTTTATTGCTTTCTACCCTTGGATTTGTTTGCAAACTATTAAATTGAGAATTTATTTATTTCAAATAACACGTCGTTGTGTCAAACGTCATTGAGATTAACAAGCATTTTGTATTAATTAGTGTATGAAACAACTCAGATACTTGTAATTATTGACATCTGTTTATTTGTCATGTTACTTGCGATTCGTGTAGGGTTCTTTATAATTTCTGGTACATTGTGCATGTGTACATTGTATCATTTTTATGAACATCTGAAAATCAATGACAGTTGCCACCAACCTTCATCATCTAAGTGCTCAAATTCAAATTATCAAATTTGTATGTGTATTCAAGGGAGTGAAATTAATTTCACGTGAATTTTGTCAAACTTTTGTAAAAAAAAATATTAGAACTGACAAAAGTATTTCCTTATTTCATGAAAGTACTGTTTGATAACACAGCAATATCGCAGGTGAAAAATCATGCCCACAAACGTCAGTTTTTTATGTTTTATATATTGAAATTCCACGCACCAATATGGTTAAGCTCACATACTGTAAAATTCCGCAAATTAGCCCCGGGGCTTATATTTTTCAAAGGCCCTTTTTGAGGGGCTTATTTTTGGAGGGGCTTATCTACGGAGGGAAATTTGTGTCTCAAAATCGATTGGGCTAGCCTTATAGCTGGAAGTAAATTTACCTTTTTTGCTTTGTTTTACTTTGTATTTGAGGGCAATTTTCCAATAACAAGCCCTTGGGGGGGCTTATATTTATAGGGGCGATTTAACCGAGGGTTTTTTATGTTACCGGTTTGGGGGGCTTATATTTGGAGGGGCCTATACATGGAGGGGCATATTACGGAATTTTACGGTATTTCCTGAAGTTCACAATTTTTTGATTTTTTGACATAAAGCCTGCCAGAATCCTTCTTGCTGATATAATATTGCTGTTTTACTTTTCTTTAATTCAATGATGTAACTTCCTCATTTGTAATGTCTTGAAATCTGAACAACAACTTGGCCCTGAAATTTGGCATCGCCATAGCAATTTTCTGTTTCTACATGTGCACCTGTGCCTTAAACTCCATTCCACCATCCTTCTGTTGCATGCCTGTCTTACTTTATGATTTAGTAACCTCGTTGTAAAAACCTGTGAAGTTTTTCTTTGTTTTCTAGCTATTATTGTCTTTGGCTCTATTGTGTTGACTTCTTGGTGGCTTCTTTGTATTCTTCGTTTTCAACACTTGTCAGTTTTACAGGTTTTTACACTGTTGATGAGCTGACATTCTTTTCTGGATGGCAATTAGATTTAGTTAGATGATGTTCATTTCTGAAGGAAAGGTGATTATAAGGATACTTGCCCAGCAGAAAAGTCAGCTTGGGACTTTATATGAACCCTGTCAAGCTTCATGTTTTATTTGTGAGTCACTCACGACCTCTCCCGGCTGGAGGAGGAAAATGACTGACATAAAATATTTGAATGTTGAGCATTTAACATTGTTTTAAGTCCTTACTAAACAAAATCAAGTGAGATGCTTTTGGCACCAAGAAGTCAGAAACTGTTAGTATGCTGAAATGATTTTATAGCCATCTGTATAATAGCCTGCGAATAGCAGAAGTTTCTCCTTGCTCATCGCCGCTAAGGGACGTATCGTGAGGAGGAACGTCTGCAACTCAGCAACAGAAATTCCATACTGATGATGTAAAATCTGTCCAGAATCCAGTCAGAAGTGCTAATTGGTCAACAGAGTAGTTTCATTATTTTAGCTATTGTTTATGAATGACATGATATTAATTTGAGGAGGACTCGGAAAAAAAAATCCGAGTCCCAGATGGGATTTGAACCCACGACCCTCCGTGATCTAGTCGGATGCTCTAACCACTTGAGCTACTGGAGACTCTATGGTGAGCAAGGGCCAATTTGTGGGTCTCGACTGGAACCGCATCACGCGGCTACACAGTCAAGTAATGATAGGCACACAAGAAGTGAAGAACTCACTAACAGCATCGCGCTGTCACCTTAAAGCATATCATATGTTTATGAATGACAGACAAAAGACAAAAGGCCGCAAAGGTCAAATGTAAACGCAATGAATCTCTAACAAAACAGCCAATATTTGTGGAATATAGTCTTCTCTAGAAGCATTTGAGTTTTGCTGGAGCCCATTTGCAGATGGAAACAACACTTTTATCAAAATCGACCAGGAGATACGTAAAATTGAACAAATTTGCATTTGGAGCCCCATGACTGCCGGATTTATTATGTAAACATTGATTTATGTCATCAGTATGGAATTTCTGTTGCTGAGTCACAGGTGTTCCTCCTTACGAAACGTCCTTCAGTGGCGATGAGCGAGGAGAAACGTCTGCCATTCGCAGACTATCTGTATAATAATTTTTAATTTTCAATTAGGTGGACATGTGTTATAAGGTTATTGGCAAAACCAACAATTTTTTAATAATGTTTTTGTTTTTGTTGGTAATGACGTTTCTTTAATACTCTATGGATTTTACTTCTTAGGGAGTGTTTTCACCAGATGTGTTGGAAGCTTTGTACTCAGAAGAATCTGATAAGCAGTTAGCAGCCATGCAAAAATTTCGTAAACTTCTTTCTAAAGGTTTGTTGCTTAGTAATGTCTTGGTAGGCATCTACTTGAACCTCTGCAGCCATGTTTGGGGTCCCAAAGACAGAGATAAGAAAAAATCTCATTTTTACTTCAATCTCCAACAGTGGCCACTGAACTGCAGTCAGGCTATCTTGACACTTGTTTGAATTGGAGGCACTTAAAAAACCCATCTCATAAGCCTCATTTTAAAACCCTTTTCACTCTATGGCAAATACTAGACGAGTATACATGATTATTTATTCTCCATACTGTTCTCTGCACATTTGGTGCTGAAAAGCAGAATCTTAAAATAAAGAACTTTTTCACCAATTATTTCCTTTTTGTGTTGTTTACAGTTTCCATAGAAACTGTAACACTATGCATTCATGTCGTGTCCATAATGTGCGTAAGTGAGAAAAACGACAATTTTCAGAAGGCCAGACGCAAAATATTGTATTATTCAGTTTGCAAACAAGGAGAGTCTAGTTGTTGCTTGTCATTTTATCATTTTCTTTTTTTCTAGTCAAAAGAAATTTTGCAAAAGAGGGGTAATAGACCTTTTCTGCATTACTCTCCAGTGAGCAAACATAAAGAAATGAGGACAAGGCTCAGGTGGACAATTTCATACAAATCTCTGTATTTTATCTACCTGAGCCTCGAGTTGATGCCCTTGTTTACAGGAATGCGGGAACGGTCTATTGGTGTGTTCATAACAAGAAGATGAAGTGTGACCTGTTGCATCCGAAAAAATAGGTGTGACTGGTCGTGCCCCCCCAAAAAAACAATTTTCTTGATGCAAGAAGTCAATCTTCATTTTCTCTTTGATGCTGGTCACCAGCATGCTATATGACAGGAAGGCAAGGTGTAGCTTAATGCGTCGGATAAATAAGCTTCACCTTGTGTGTCAAAAATTAATTGCTCTTCCATGCAAGAAATCATGCTTTATTTTCTTTAACAAAACTTGTGACATTAAATGTGTATATGACATAGCAAGCTGATAAAATGGCAAGTTCACAACAGACATAACAAGAACTGTAAACGTGTGCTCTCTCTAGTTTGCTACTTTTTCTTGTGACTCTTATGTTGGATTAAAGCAGTGTTTCTATAAGAAGAATTTGTTTTAAGGGGCTAGGAATTAATGAAGTTGGAGTTCACTCCAGATAACCCTTTACTTATTTTTCTTTCTCAATGTGCTGTTTGTTTTTAGAACCTCATCCTCCGATTGATGATGTTATTAGATGTGAAGTGATACCTAGGTTTATATACTTCTTACAAAGAGATGACAATAGCATGCTACAGGTACAACCATATCTATCAAATCCATCTTTATTTTGGTTCTGTCCGTTTTCGGTTAAAATAAGATAACATTCCTATGGTCATAATGTATTGTCCTTTTTTCCTACAAAAAATCTTTGACTGGGATGACTGTAACTCTATTTATAGTTTGAAGCTGCTTGGGCACTAACAAACATTGCGTCAGGGACATCACCACAGACGCAGTGCGTTGTTCAAGCAGGATCTGTACCAGTTTTCATCAGGCTGCTTGAATCTCCTCATGTAGATGTTCAAGAACAGGTTAGAAACAGTTCTTTCTCATGTGATTTAGAGGTTCATCTTCAAACTGTTATTTGTGGACTGGTCTTGTTGTCAAGAGATCTTTTCCTTACCTTTAGATAATTATTATTTCTACTTTAAATTTATCTTTCTACTGGTTTGGATTGATTTGGAAAACTGTGAGAGCCTTTAGAAAAATTTGACCTACACCGCTGTTTCCTCTATATTCTTTTTAATGGAAAAGTGAAAATAGTGTGACGTTACAAGCACACATGCACATCTTGTTTTAAAGCTTGCACTACATCATTCATTTGTTTTCAGGGTGTAAGCTCTATGTCTTATTACTTGAGCTGTTTTTTTTCTTCTTTTAGGCTGTCTGGGCTTTAGGGAACATTGCTGGTGACAGTGCAGAATGCAGAGATTATGTTCTTAACTTAGGAATGCTACAGCCAGTTCTGGAGTATGTTAAGATTATTACAAATATGTTCAAGTTGTTACTGATTTTTTTTATCCTTCTTTAAAATGTCAGGCTCTTACTTATTTTTTTTTCTTTTAACAGGCTCTTAAAACAGTCACCAAGACTTTCAATGACAAAAAATCTGGTTTGGGCACTCTCTAATTTGTGCAGAGGAAAAAATCCACCTCCTGATTTTTCAAAGGTATTCCTCGTGAAATCTATTTAATAGCCATCTGTGGTATTAACTAGCGGATCTTGCCTTTGATTGCACTTCAAGTAACTGACTTCTTATCAAAAATTCCAGATAGAATCACATAATTGAATGAAATCTCACTTTCTGATTGGTGAACGAAGTGAGGTATTTAGTGCGGAATTGCAAGTTGAAAACAAGGCTAAGTGATATTGTTTCGCATCAGCGTAACAACTGTCGTCAAATTCTAACACAACAACTCCAAAAACGTTTTTCTACAATGTCATTTAAAAATGTTTTCAAAACCATTGTCACCTTTTGAAGAGCCAAAAACAAACAAAAGTGTTTTTCAAAGTGAGCTGGAGGTTCTTCCTTGTTTTGAACTGAGCTACAAATTCTTGGAGAGGCATAAAAAACCTCTTTTGCTTGTGACAACAAGAAAGCAAGAAAATCCTGTAAATACAGCCCAGAATATGGCAAGCAAAAGTTCAACCAGACAAGATGGAGAAGTAACAATTCCCCTTTTTGTCTTTCGCTTGGAGACTTCATTTCTTTCAGTGTTGAGCAAATGATGTGGAAATTTGAGAAAAGATTTTATAGATAAATGGCTTGTAAATTCAGTGAAATACCACTATTTATCCTTGAGATTAGTTTCAAGCTGGTTTAAAAAGTTTAAAAGCAAATGTAAAAACAAGCACAAGATACAAATAAAGTTATCAAGGTTCAAATGTGTACGACTGACCTTGCTTCTTATTCGCTAATGCAATGACAGTTCTGACAGTTGACCTTGAAATGGCTTTCTGAAGCACTCGCTCAGGATAAAAACAAACAATATTATTGCTGTTTTCTTTTTCTGTTATTTTTTTCAATTATGCGATTCAAGGAAAATCCATTACCTGACTCGTGAATTCCGTGTTGAATTGCACTTAAAAACTGATATTGCACTCATCGCTTCGCGATTTGTGCGATATCGGTTTTCCCATGCAATTTAACACGGAATTCCCTCATCAGGTAACGAATTTTCCTGTAGAATGCTTAAAAACTTAAGGATGCTGATGATTTCTCAATGGCCATGATTGACCTGTGCTATAAGGGAGTTTGTCGAGATGTTATTTATGATAATCATGGTGATAATCATCTGCAGTGCTTGTGATCTGGGCAGAGTTAAGAACAGCAATGATAACTCTATTGATTATATAAAATGCTGCTTGCAAAACAACAGTGTAACACAATGACACTGGTTGAATCTTGTGATAGTCCTGTATTAGTTTGTGCTCATAACTGTGAGGATTATTTTGATCATATAATTTCATTTGTTCAGTTTCTGTTCTATTGTGATATATTCCATGACATTATTTCATCTGTATAAGTCCGTTAAAGAACAGCTTCAGCATGAACAATAATTAAAGTAGCAAAACCACACACCTTGCAGTTAGGAAATATTAGGTTTCTTGTGCAACTTTTCACAGTATAACCTCTGCTGGTTGATAGCGATAATGTAATCGCCAATGATGTTGCTTATTGAAAAAATAGAACTCAACTTTTTGCAAACAATTTATAATACTAATATTATGCATATTTCCTCCAGGTGTCTGCGTGCTTACCAGTCCTAGCTCGACTTCTCTTTATCAATGATGCAGATGTTCTTGCCGACTCATGTTGGGCACTCTCATACCTCTCAGATGGCCCTAATGAAAAGATCCAAGCTGTAATAGATTCTGGAGTTTGTAGAAGATTAGTGGAATTGTTAATGTAAGAGCTCAAGTAACTTTGTGCTTAAAGGGTAAATCTCATGAACTGCACATTTGCAAGCTGAAACTCAATTGCTTCAAAAATTCTGCAGAACGAGAGCAGGAAGAGCGATTTTGACAGCTATTTCCTGAGCATGCGCAGATTATGAGACTACCCTTCAAATTAAAGGAAGGTGGAACCTACTGCACAATGTATTGTATCTGATAGCAATTTGATTTTATTTCATTCAGGCACGACCTGACCCATGTTGTGTCAGCTGCTCTTAGGGCAGTGGGAAATATTGTGACAGGTGATGACGTGCAAACACAGGTAAGATAAAAATGATATCCAGACTTAAATCCTTAACATGGGAAAACAGTAGAACTCTGCAATATGATCACTTTGTTATTACAGTCATGACCCTGGATGGATGTTAATACATGTGTATTATCATTGTTTTGGCCAGAATTTGTGTGCCATGAAGTGGGGATAAAAACAACAGCCATCTGACTTTTTTAAATACAAAATGAAGAAAGCAAGGCAGAGAATTTATATTGTAGAAACCAAGTTTTGGTTTATTACAGAAAACATTGAAAAATGTAAGGAAATTTTACAGGAAGGCAACTAAAGTATCATTGTACAGTCAAACCTCTTTAACACGGACGCCAAAGGAACAGGACCAAGTGTCTGCTTTACAGAAGTGTTTGTATTATAAAGGCATTTCTGGGACCAAACAAACTGTCCCTAAGAGAGGTGTCCATAAGGAGAGGTTAGACTGTATATAGGCAAAAATGCCTTCTGTAGATGAAAACCTTCTGGTATGCGATAATTCATATGAAAATTCTTTAGCAGTACATTAAGATGGTACTATTTTGTTTTCCAGCATTTCACAGATGACGTTTGGAAATTTTGTTGACTTTTGACCATGACCTCTTTTGGTAGTGAATTATGAGGGAGTGGATGATATTGGCAGTGGTGTTTAGAAGAACAATTCTGTTCTTAAACCAATTTTGTTCCTTTTCAGGTGATTCTCAACTGCAATGCACTTCCTAGTCTTTTACATTTACTTAGTAATTCCAGAGAAAGTATTAGAAAGGAGGCATGCTGGACAATCTCCAACATCACAGCTGGAAACAGAGCACAGATTCAGGTAAGTTCCCAGGGAAAGTAATGATGCAGGGTTTACAAGAAAACTAACTTTATTTCCGTATTTATTTGGCTGTAAGCCGGGTGATTTTTACACAAATTAATGCTAAAGTTCAGTGAAATTTGAACCCAAAAAATGGTTTTAATGCATTGAAACTCTACTGAATGGGAATGCCGAGCAAGTAGCAGCAAAAAATCAAATCAACCGCATAACTAGGAATCTGAATCTTAAGTTAGCTAAGCACAGATTAATTTAGTCTGGCATCGTCAAAATATCCGACAAAAACAGATCTCACTTAAATTCTCACATTGGTAAGTCTTTTTACAAAGAGGGATGGTGTAAAACATTTGAAAGGTGCCCCTTTCTTTTTGTGGCTTTGCTGTTTCCTTGTATTCCCAGTGGTTTTGCTACAAATAGTTCTGGTGAGTCCTGGGACTCATCTTGTGAAAAGTCATGAGTTCCAGTTTAAAAAAAAGAGTCAGAAATTGAAAATGCTTGGTCCTTTATGCAACCAGACAGTTAGTCTGAAGTCAGACTCCAAAACTCTGTATTACAGTACACTGAAATTAAAATATAGTTGTTCTACTTTAAAGCACAACAAAGGCTAAAAGAAATATGCATCGTTAAACAACAGCCATAATAACTGACACAGAAATTACATGAATGGGCTGGATATTTCTACAATACACATGTTCAGATTGATCTTTGTGTCCTGCGGGATGCATGCCATGAATTATTTTGCGTCTTTAGGGATTTTTATGTGTCATGGACGTAGGACAAAATCACTGCCCTTTCTTGTTGTGGCTTTGCTGTTTCCTTGTATCCCCTTTATGTTTCCCCTCCCCTTCAAAACCACCAGCTGTGCAGGCTCAGGCTCTGCAAGGTATTTAAGGGCTGTAAATGTAACCTTTAGCACCTGTTATGGCTGAGCTCACTTGACGTTACGGCTGATCAAACTAGAAAGCTAAAGATCAGCGTGCAAAGAAAGTAGTGTTCGATAGCCCGGTGCTAGTGGATTTTGGTATCGGGCTAGTGAATTCTGTTCTTAACTTGCCCAACGGGCAAGTGACGTTTTCTGAGGAATTCAACTTGAAGAACTGTGAAATCAATGCTGCTCATCAAAAAGTTTTTTGGGCTAGTTGAAATGACGTTTGGGCTAGTATATGCCAGCTTCAGCTTGCCTGAATGGCAAGCTGTAAAAATGACTTTCTTTGCGCCCTGAAGATAAAATTTCTATTTTGAGAGTTGTTTTGCGTGAATCTTCATTTGCTTTGGCAGCTTCCAAACTTAATCACAGCCCTGAGGCTACCACGACTCCAAAGAACTACTGAAGGAAGTCATTTAGCCTGTGAGCAAGCTCTCCTATTTGGGTGAGCGAAGAGAGCCTTGCGAGAACGGGCGAGCGAGGGTGCCCCTCGAGGCTTCGCCACTCGCTCGCGCATTCTCACGAGACTGGCTTCGCTCGTCCAAATAGGATAGCTTGCTCACATGCTAGAAGTCATTTTGACTCTCAGTAGCCTAGAGCCCATAAGTGTTTAGCAATGCTGGTGATTTGACAGACTAATATTCTGATACAAAGTTCTTCTGGTCACTAAAAGCTTTTTACTTCCAACATGACAGCGAGAAAACAAAACAAAAGATCAACTTGTTTTGCTGGACGTAGCTCCTTGTTACTATCAGAACTGTCAATTATGTACGCATCTTCATGAATTTACATTTACACAGGACCACAGACTTTTTAAGCTGAACTCAAGTTAAGCACTTAGTACATGAAATGTGCTTTAAATGTGTTATATATTAGTTATTTGCTTTTTTACAGGCAGTGATAGATGCTAATATCATTCCAATGTTGGTGGAAATTCTTAGTAAGGCAGAGTTTAAAACGAGAAAAGAGGCAGCTTGGGCCATAACCAATGCCACATCTGGAGGAACATCACAACAGATAAGGTTGATTACAGTAGTTTTTTTAAAACATTATAGTTTGTTGCATCGTGTTATAAAGAAAATGGAGTGTAAATGCTTGGGGTTAGTCATGCACACAACTTGACAAATTTGTGACTCAACATGCAATTTTTGCAGCCAATTTTTTTTAAAACTCTTTCGGTGCGACCGGGAAAGCCATGAACACTTGAAATATTACAGGAATGTGTTTTGTGTTGTGACCAATCACAGCAAAGATGAGAACACGCGAACTAGCCAGAAAACCGCAAACTAATTACCGTTCTTGCTTGCGGTTTAGTTTTCTGATGCCTGATTGGCATTTTTCTTGCATCACAATGACATTCCAGAAATATTTGTGGTGTTTTCGGTTTTCCCGGTTTGACCTAGTCTGCTACACAGCCGTTTTTAGAGTCGTCACGCAATGCTCCTCCCTCCCTGTGGGGAGAAGCGTTGCGTGACGACACTAAAAACCGTTGTGTATTAGGCTAGGTTTGACCGTAATGGCAAACAAAATGATTGCATCTTGCAGCATTTATGGAGGATGGTGTTCTCACCTCCACAGCACCCCACCCCTGCTCCTCCCCCAGATTGATGTATTCATGTAAGAACTCTCTGATTCTCCTCCCATAACAGTTACCTGGTCAGCCAAGGAGCTATCAAGCCTTTGTGTGAGCTCTTGACGGTTATGGATTCAAAGATTGTTCAAGTTGCGCTTAGTGGATTAGAAAATATTTTAAGAGTGGGAAAACAGGAGGGACATCAGATGGATGGTGTTAATCAGTTTGCTGTTATGGTGGAGGAAGCGTATGGTAAGACATCTTCATTTTCCTCTATTTAAACTACTAGGTACCCGTTTCCCGAGAATCCCGGTAAATTTTCGGGCCCGAAAAGCTGTTTATATTTGCTGGATCTGCATTCAAGATCTAAGTTTCAATTGTTTTGAAAATGATACCATGAAACTATCAGTTAACGAAGCAAAATTGACTGGTTTTGCGCCAGGAACCGTGTTACTGTTCAACAGGTTTTTATTTCAAAATTTGCCTTCAGGTCCGAAAAGTTATCGGGCCTTTCGAGAAACGGGCCCTTGGACCGGGTTGTTTAAAAGTGAGTTAGGATAACCCTGGGTTAGTGCGAAATTTAAATTCAGATTTGAAAGCTTGAAGGACAAATTCAGTTTAGTTAGTTTTGTCCACAATTTGATGACTAGATGCTCTAAAAAGAATAGAAAATGTTTTTCACAAAAGAAAAAAAAACAGATTGAAATGTAATCCCGGGTTAGTGCTAATCAACCTTCGAACTATTGGGCCCAGATGTACCCAGGATTGAGTTCCATCTCAAATGTTAAGCAAGACTGTAAAAATTTATAGGGCTAATTCCAAAAGAAAGGTATTTTAATTATTTTTCAAGAGCTTTTATCTCTAGTACCTTTCAGTACTTATATTGGCTACCCTGATGATCCTTGAGGTCTTTGCCCGGAAAGCTTTTACTTACTTTCCTTGTACATTTAACTCTCTGAAACATACACCTTTGGAAGCGGTTCAGCGTGTCTTAGATGTTCTATTGGGACCAACAGTTTCAACCAAAAACGGTTTTTTTCCCCGATAGAACACTAAAAAACCCAACGAACTAAGAACGGTTGATCCCACAGGGGCACCCAACGTCAATTTTCGGGAAAATATCTGTTCGGAAGACGATTTGAGAACTAGAATTTTCGGAACATTTGTTGTAAAGTTTCTTGCTTGCCTGCCTCTCCTAGGATTTTCGAACATCTACAAAATGGTATAATTACCCATTTTAAACAGATATTTACCCTAAAAAAGGCCACCTAGAATTTTCGGGAGCCTTTTCCTGGCTGAAATTTTCTAAAAGGTAAGTTTTGATCCCTATAATTTTCGGATCACTAGACTTTCAGCTAGAAAATCCGAACAGATGAAAGTTTTTAGGGGATAAAAATATGCCTATATCTACCGTTTAAATACTAAAATACGTTCAACAATGCTATGTTAAGTGGTTTTGAACTATATCCTCGTTGGGTGCCCCTGATCCCAATAGGACACGACCTTTGAGAGATGTTCATCTAATCTTATAGAGGAGTAAAGACTGTTTTAAAAGTTTCTGTTGTAACAAAGTGTTTGTCGTGTAGAGTGAAAGGTGCAAAGAAAGGGAGGGACCCACTCCAGGTGCTCGTTTTAGCGATGTGTCCATGTCATAGATGGTTACCGGTCGTTTCGATACAAGTTTACTCAGTTGAGTTGTGAATAGTTCCACGTAGTTGACCTAAGGAACGAAGAATGTTCACCCAAAATGTTTTTCTTGTTCACGCATCCCATCCTCGTCGCCAATTTAACGTCGAATTTACATTTTATGTACTTCACAATTCGTAAAGCTACCGCTAACGTCCGTTACTCGCTCTATTCTAGGATAACCTCAAACGTTATGTAACAATACCTAAGATGCATACCATAAGCGTCACTATGCCTGTCACGCATGAAGTCACGCCATTACACATACTGAATTCGAAGATTCAAAGTGAAAGAAATTTTTGTGCTATTTCACTGCTTGAGTTCGTCGCGAAACGACTTGTAGACTCTTGCAGTCAGCCTTTTCTCTTACATCCGTCTAGTTCTTATCTCAGCCAGCGCGATTGCAAACCACGATGTTACGTTACGGATTTTAAGAGAAAAGGCGGACTGCAAGCAGTCTAAACGACTTGTTTCGAAACGATTTTGTATCGAAACCACTGGTTTCCTCACAGATAACCCATAAACATAAATTAATTGTCTCTCTTTAGGTTTAGACAAGATTGAATTTCTTCAAAGCCACGACAATGAGGAAATCTACAGAAAAGCATTTGAAATAATTGAATACTATTTTAGTGGTGAAGACGAAGATGACAAGATTATGCCTGGCATTGATCAGGAAGCGAACCAATACCAATATGCAGGAGTCAGCGTGCCCCAGGGAGGCTTTCAGTTATAAACTGCGTGTGCTTCGGCAAGACTGAAACTGGACTTAAAATCCCCCGTTCCTACACCGGAGAAGAGACCCCCCTTGACGAGGAGCTGATGACAGACAGGACACCCCTCCCTACCCTCCCCTCCCATCATTGCTAAGCCACGCACGCACTTATCTGAAGTGTGTAGAGCCTGCAAACCTCCATCGCGCGAGCGAGACGAGAGAGAGAGCGAGATATATGGTGAACCCCACCCAACCCCTATGAGGAGAACTCCAAGACCCCTGCCCGTCTTATAAAAAGGCTAGAAAATACATTGAGACAGTTGAGACGATAAAGACTGAGATATATTGTGAATCCCACTCAACCCCTATAAGGAGAACTCCAAGACCCCTGCCCGTCTTCTAAAAGGCTAGAAAATACATTGAGACAGTTGAGACGATAAAGAGTGAGATATATGGTAAATCCCACTCAACTTCAATAAGGACACCCTCAGGACCCCTACCCGTCTTACGTTCATTAAGGCAATTGAGACGAGAGAGAGTGAGATATATGGTGAACCCAACCCAACCCCCCTTAATGAGAACTCCGGGACCCCACCCTTCCCGTCTTATAAAAGGTTAGAAAATACATTGATCTCCAGGGAAGAAATCTAGTAAAATGACCCCAGACATAAAGAGTTGATACCCAAAACGCCGGATCCCCAAGGAGGCGTTCCCGTGTCCATAAATATCCCCACAAGACTGGATCTTTAAGAGAGAGAGAGAGAGAGTTACCCCGCGATAAAATTGTTCCACAGTAGGTATACCCCGAAAGAATGGACCCCGTACCTCCCCATATTGGTGGTGAGAATAAAGACAGAATTTACAGAAAGGGACAATAAATGTTAGATTTCTTTGGGCTTCATTTTGTGCTCTTACGAAATGCAGAGTGCTAGTTGACTTTAGTCGAAGCCAATAACTTCGAGAGACGTTGCGTATAGCCTAGATGATTTAGAAAGGGCATTTGAATGTAACGAGAGAGACACTGATCATGCTTTTTAAATTTAAAGCAAAGACTTGAATTTAATGAAAAACGCTGCGAGCATGTATATACACAATAAATATTTAGGTATTGCTGAAGTGTCATTTACTTCCTAGCCAATTCCAGGCGTCCAGATTGTGGGGATGGCGCAAAGAGCCTGGAACAGGCTATTTACGTCCGTTTCCGATGACGAG